TGAACATTTTTGTTTAATTACATATATTAAAAAAAAATTTAAATATATATCAAAAATAATATGTAATATATAAAAAAATACACACGTGAATATACATGTATACAAACATATAAAAAAAACATACACGTGAGGGTTGGGCTACACTGTAAAATAAAAAAAAAAAATAATATACTTTTTTCACCTTAGGAAAAATAAAAAAAACTATGGATTGAGGTAAAGAATGTGTGAAAGTCAGAAAAAAAAATAAATTTTTCCTGTCCCTTTCAAATTCATGTCAAAAAAAACACAGTTTCCTTACTATATCTTTTGTATAAGCTAAAAAAAAAAGATCACATATGTTAAATGTATCACTGAATTAAAAAAAAGAGAAGTTTAGCTTATTGTGTTAGGAGTTAATGAAAAAAAAGTCTACACATGTAACTTATACAGTAACAAATGTAAAAAAAACCATTCTAGTAGTATCAGGAAATCAATTATACACAAAAAAAAATTTCTGTGAACATAGCAGAGAGATACAATCCAAAAAAAACAGTTTCTTCACAGTCAAAAGAAATGTTACAAGGAAAAAAAAATAAAACTCAAGAACATTACTAGGAAGAGAACCAAAAAAAAACTCATTTGGAATTCATTTTTTTAAAAATATACAAAAAAAGTAAGTTCAGTTGTCAGTTTCCAAGACCGCAAGAAAAAAAAAATAGATTATTATAGGAGAGAAAAATTGCTGCTATAGAAATGCTGCTGGTACAGAAGAAATGTGAAGTGACAGCTAAAAAAAGGGGAAAAACAGAAAAATTGTATATAAAAATGAAAAAAAAATGGCTTTCTGGGGCCATTTAGCAAGGGGAAATCCAAAAAAATGGTAATAATATTTATGGCCCTGCATACTAAATTAAAAAAAGACTTGCAAACTTGAATAAATGACAGTAAGAACAATAATAGCTACACACATATAGCCTTTGAACCTAGGGACTCTAAAAAAAAATCCCATGGTTTTAACCACTACACTATACTGCTAAAAAAAAAAATTTAAAATTACATTCAAGATATTAAAGTAAAAAAAAAAAAATACTTTAGAAAACAAAGATGTAATTGATTTAAAAAAAACCTTCTGCTATAAACTGAATGTCTATGTTTACCAAAAAAACTTATGTTGAAACATAATCTTGAATGTGATAATAAAAAAAACTGGGGCCTTTGAGAAGTGGTTACGTCATGAAAGAAAAAAAATTATGTATGGGATTGGTGCCTGTGATAGTCTGTTGGCATGCTGCTAATACAGACATACCCAAGACTGGGTAATTAAAAAAAAAATAAAGACTGGGGAGGCCTCACAATCATGACTGAAGGCAAATGAGGAGCAAAGTCACATCTTACATGGTGGCAAAAAAAAAGAGCTTGTGTAGGGGAACTCCCATTTATAAAACAAAAAAATATGGTGAGACTTATCAACTACCATGAGAACAGTAAAAAAAAAATGCCCCTATGATTCAATTATCACCACCTGGCAAAAAAATTGCACCATGGGGATTACCACAATTCAAGGTGAGATTTAGTGGGGACACAGCCAAACCATACAGTGCCTTTAGAAAAAAAAACTCAAAGAGCTCCATTTCCCCTTTTGCCATGTGAAAAAAAAGTGAGAAGACAGCTGTCTATGAACCAGTAAGCAGAAAAAAACCAGACCCTGAATCTGTTGGCACCTTGATCTTGAAAAAAAAAGCTTCCAGAACTGTGAGTAATAAATTTCTGTTGAAAAAAATCACCCAGTCTATTCCCTTATAGAAACCTGGACGACCTAAGATACCTGTGTATGAAATGATTAAATACCCTTAATAATATAAGCCTGGAGAACTTATCAAAAAAGATCCTTTCTAGAAAAAAAGTTTTTTGGGATCTATGTATTTTTATTTTGATGAAAAAAAAACATATTTGTAATTTTGTAATATTGCATTATCTCAAAAAAATTTTCCCTATTAATATATACTATTATTATCTACAAAAAAAAGACAAGAAAACTGACATATAGTTTAGGTAATTGCAAAAAAATCCATAATTGGTATCGGATGAAGCCAATATTTAAAAAAAAATAGTCTGGTTCCACAGTCCTAGCTTTAATCAATGAAAAAAAGGCTACCACAGTTGCCAGACTGACTACGTCCTGTAGGATTTGCTATGATGTGTCAGGATGTACTATTTAAGAGATAAAAAAAATCCTGAAAACCCCAAAATAACTTTCAGAATCATAAAAAAACTCACCAATGTTCTAGTTTTACTCATTCCAGGCAAAAAAAAACTCCCTTGAAGTTAGGCATGGCCATGTGATTTGAAAAAAACAACAGAATGTAAGCAATAAGAATTTGTCACTTCAAAAAAAAAGCCTTTAAGAAAAGCATGCAATTCTCCATATCAAAAAAACTTCACACTTCTCTCTTTCTGTTCCTGGCACTAGCATTCTAATAGTAATAGATTTTATGACTTCTTTTCCTATCAAAAAAAACATCCAAACAGTAACTATAACATATTCATTTCACAAAAAAAAAATCCCTTCTGCCCTTTCCTTTTGCCTCATACTAAAAAAACTATGTCTTCTCTAAATGAGGTTTTCTTTACTTCAAAAAAAGCCTACTACAACAGGCTAGTGATCTCATCTTCAGACTCTAATGTGAGTCCACCAAATAGAATACTTCAGATTAATAAAAAAATAGCAGATTTCTGACTATAACCTACCTAGCTCAAAAGTTTACAATGATTCCCACCATTAGTTGTAAGTATAAACTAAAAAAAAATGCTTTACACTTTATAATACCACTTAAAAGCAAAAAAAAATTTTTCTAAATGTTATCTTTCACTTAGTCATATAAAAAAATCAAGTTGAAATGGCAACTTGTTCCTCCTACTGGAAAAAAACCATCTATGCCTTAGGTAATGTTTACTGCTTTATAAAAAAAACTTTCTACAGCCTCAATTCTTATTCTTTTATAAAAAAAAACCTGTGAAAATGACAAATTTTTCAATATCCATTTCAAATGAAACCTTATCTATAAAGTGTCAATGTGGGAACATCAAAAAAATTGAATTCCAATATATCTGTAGGTTGAAAAACATAAAAAAATAGTGCTCAGCGCTGTGCTTTGCCATGGTAGAGTAAAAAAATTTTACTGAATTAAATTGTACTGCATATTCAAGAGTAAAATGTTTTAAAAAAATTAACTAGTTTGTCAACAAAAAAAAAAAACTTTTGCGAAAAGTATTTGTACTCAGAGTAACATAAAAAAACAACATTTATAGAATGTCTACTTCATAACGAATGAAAAAAATGATTAGGAAAATAACAGTAGCCAACATTTACTTAAAAAAAACTATGTGTCAGCTACTTTGCAGGCAATTCCTCAAAAAAAATTCAAAAACTCTAAGTTGAATATAGTCATTATCTAAAAAAAAGAGATGAGGAAACTGAGTCACAAAGAGTTTGCAAAAAAAACCCAAGGTCACATGGTTAGATGTAAACAGTCACAAAAAAAATAAAACAGTCTGACTCAGGAAACTGAGCTCCAAAAAAAAAAAAACATTAATTTATATATTGGGTATTATATCTTAAAAAAAAAAATTTACTACTTGTTAACAAATTATGAAGTGGGTATCGCATGAGTGATTTCTTAAAAATCTCTTTTAAATCACAAAAAAAATCATATATTACAAGGCAATTATTTAATAAAAGTAAAAAAAAGGAAACTGAACAAACCAAATAGACTATGAATTCCAAAAAAACAATGGGTGTAAATTGTTTATCTTCATACATTGGGAAGCTGACCTAATACGTGACACATAATTAGGTCAGATTTAAAAAAAAGGAAAGGTCACATGAATTAAATTCAAGATCAATCAAAAAAACTCTTAAAGTTTTCCTTATTTATCCTCAAATGTCTACAATGCTGTGGTTCTCCAAAACCAATTTTTGAAAGTGCTAAAAAAAAGAGTAACTTCTAAAATGTATAATAACACTGTTGAAAAAAATTTGAATATATGGAGAAAGCTGTAAAAAAGAATGAAAAAAAAGTACTGAAACAAAGGAACAAAGAGTTAAGATATAAAAAAAAATTTGCTTTCTGGTTAAGAAAGGCAATGGCATTAAAAAAAGAGGAAAAAAGCAGATAAAACAGGTAGACAGGCAAAAAAAAATGAAAGAGCTTATTTAGCAAACTGCAAGTGTTTAAAAAAAGTGATAGTGTAAAGTATATGCTGGGAACTGGCAGAAAAAAATAAAGATGGAAATTGAGTAGTTTGTAAAGAGATTAAAAAAACTACTAAGAAAGTTAGCATTATGTTGACTGCACAAAAAAAACTCTTCAACTCACCATCTTGCTGGCAGCGGAAACAAAAAAACCTATAAACTGAATTCTCCAATACAGTACTTTCTAAAAAAAGCTATACAAAATACCCTTTTTAGAGGCCAAGGTGAAAAAAACACTGGAGCCCAGGAGTTCAAGACCAGCCTGGGTAAAAAAATGAGACTCTCTATTTAAAAAAAAAATAATAATAAAAAAAAAAACTTAATAACAAAAAGTTTCCACAAATTAGCTCATTTTTAAGTAGTATTTTAAAGGTATAGCAGAATATAAGAAAAAAAAAGATACCTGCTTTTATTTCCTTTTTTTAAGAAAAATCCTGAAGATAAAATATTTTTTTCCTTACTGCTTCCTTGCTAAAAAAATTTTCCTTGCATCATTACTTTCATTTTGGCTTAGAAAAAAAACATGAAGTCAAAGGGTTAAAAGTAGCTATTTTAAAAAAAACCATAGCACCATGGAAATCCTAGTACAGATCATTAAAAAAATATTCTGCTTATTTTTACTTATTCTGCTTATTTTAAAAAAATAGTTTCCAATCAAAGAATACAGACAGAATGATTAAAAAAAAGGAGACTTTTCAACACAGAGCTCAATTTTCTAGAAAAAAAGGAAATTCCAGGCAACACTGTCATTGATTTTTAAAAAGCATACCTAGGAGTGCAGTGAGCTTGGGAAGCAGTCCAAAAAAAACCATCTTATTCCTCAGTCCTGTGTCAAAGGAGAGAAAAAAAAAAAGTCGGAGGGTGATATTCAGCAGGTCTTCATGCTCACAAGGTATCATTTTCACCAGTTTTTCAACAATATCCAAAAAAACCTACGTAAAATAATAATACAAATACAGTGAAGTAAAAAAACAAAATAGGACAAAAATAATATAATTATTTTTTGAAAAAAACGTAATGTATACCTATTTTATAATTATATGTTAATCTTATAGTCCATTTCAATCTGTAAACTTTGCTGAAATCAAAAAAAAAAGGAGAAAATATATATGCTACACCATCCTCTCCTAAAAAAATTTAATTCCATCAACTGGAAGACAAATTACATTTAAAAAAAGAAAACACTTTGCATTATTGAACACCACCTACTAAAAAAAAGGTCCTATGTAAAGATCTCATCTTGGCCTTCAAGAAAAAAACAGTATAAAAAGAGAGTAGGTTGGGCATGGTCGCAAAAAAATGTAATCCCAACACTTTGGGAGGCTGAGGCAGGTGGATCACGAGGTCAAGAGATTGAGGCCATCCTGGCCAGCATAAAAAAACCCCATCTCTACTAAAAGTACAAAAATTAGCTGGAAAAAAAGGTACGTGCCTGTAGTCCCAGCTACTTGGGAGGCAAAAAAAGGAGAATCACCTGAACCCACGAGGCACAGGTTGCAAAAAAACGAGATCACGCCACTGCACTTCAGCCTGGTGGCAAAAAAAAACTCCGTCTCCAAAAGAAAAAAAAAAAAAGTAGAAAAAAAAAATGAATAATGAAAATACAATATGATAAAAACTGAAAAAAAAAAATGCTCTGAAAACAGCACGGACAGAACTACCAAAAAAACTGGAAGAACAGAAGACTTCAAATCGGGAACAAAAAAAAAAAAAAAAAAATGACTAAGAATTTGTTCTCTGGTTCAAAAAAACAATGGCAATACAAGTTGAAGAAAAAGTCAGTGGATCAGCATTTAGGAATAAAAGAGCTTGTTAGGGAATTGCAAAAAAAAAAGTATAATCATAGTATAAAGTACATGTTGGAGATAAAAAAAAGGCTGTAAGACAGATCTATACAAAATCGTAAGAAAAAAAAATGCTGTACTAAGAAGATTAACATTATTACACAGGCAGTAAAGTGTCCTGAAAGATTTTAAGTCCAGGGGGTGATAAAAAAAGATTTGTTCCTAGACTAGGAATACTCCTAAAATCCAAAGTCCCAGACACTAACCAAGTACCAACTTGTAAAAGGCAAAAAAAAAAACAGCAGTATCAGAGTCCTTTTCTGTACGGTAAAAAAAGTAGATTATTTTCTGTTAACTGACAAATGGAAAAAGAGGTTTAGGATAATGAAGGCAAAATATTATTTTAATTTTAAAAAAATAATTTGAGATGGTATTCAGTGAATATTTAAAAAAAAAAAAAAACCCAGGAAAGAAGCTAGACTAAAAGTAATAGTTGAAACTTTAGGACAGGGATCAGCCAACTATGGCTAGTGGGCCTATCTGGCCTGCTATCTTTCCATTCAGCCTATGAGCTAAAAAAAACTTTTGGCTTTTAATAATTTTAAATGGCTGAAAAAAAAAAACAAATGAAGAATGATATTTCATGACATACAATAAAAAAAAAAAATTCCAATTTCAGTTTTGATAAATATTTACTGGAACAGAGCCATGCTCATTTGTTTATTGACTGTCAATGGCTAAAAAAATGCTACAACTAGAGCAGAGTTAGTAGTTGCAAGAGAGATCATATGGCCCGTAAAACCCACAATATTGACTATCTGAAAAAAAGTAGAAAAAGTTTGCAGATCCCTGCTCTAGAAGAAAAAAAAATTGCATTAAGAGAACTTACTTTATAGTCATAGAAAAAAAAACTTATTTAGTAAAAGAAGCCCTGCATTCAGATTAAAAAAAGGTAGCAATCAGAAAACTTTGGTTGTAAAAACATAAAAAAACTTTTAGTTACACAGCAATGGCAAAAAAGAAAGAAAAAAAAAAAAGTATTTATGATTTTTTAATCAAAGGATTTAAAAAAAATTGTGCTCTACTTTTTCTTTTATTGGAGATCTAAAAAAAAAATTTATACTACCCATTTCATATCTGTGTTGCAAGAAAAAAATGACCTCATAAAAATCACATTAATAACTGAGCCCTTGATACATTTTTTTCCTTTCACTCCATGCCAAGGAATAAAAAAAAAATTTTTTAAATTGCTAAAGTGACAAATTTACACCTAAAAAAACCTTTAGACTTCTATCTACACTCCACAGCCACACAAAAAAACTACCCTGGAGCTGTTCATTATAGGGTATAATTCAAAAAAAAAAAACTTTCAAAAATCAAACACAAGATAAAAGTAAAAAAATTGAAAATACCAAAGCAATTGAAAAACCGCTAATAAAAAAAAAAAAGATCGATATCTGAAATAAAACAGAGAAAAAAAAAAAAGCCTTTCAGACAAAGAGAGAAAAAGGAAACAGTAAAAAAAATTTTATGCCCGTACATCTGATAGCATATAAATGAAATAAATTCCCTGAAAGATAAACTACTGAGCTACCACTCAAGAAGAAATAACCTAAACAGTTTTATATCTATTAAACTAATAAAAAAAAAGAAAATCCCAGGCCTATGACTTTTTACTGGTTAAAAAAATTAAACATTTATATAGAAATAATACCAATTCTACAAAAAAACTCCCAGAAAAATTAAAGAAGAAGGGATGCTTCCAAAAAAATTATATGAGGACATAGTTACTCTAATAATAAAACAAAAAAAAGACATTAGGAGAAAAGAAAACAATAGAATAATGAAAAAAAAACATAAAAATTCTCAAAAATAATTAGCCAAAAAAAAAAAACAATATATATAAAAGAGCAATATATATAAAAGAGAAAAAAATCACAACCAAGTAATGTTTACACCCTAAATACAAAAAAAAAAAACCTTCAAAAGCCAATCAATGTAACTCACTATAAAAAAAGTCTAAAGAGAAAAACTCATATGATTATCTCAGTAAAAAAAACAGGGAGGCATTTCACAAAATTTAACATCCATTAAAAAAAAAAAGTCTCAGGAAGCAAGAAATAGAAGAACTTCCTTAAACTGATAGCAAGTATCTAAAAAACCCTACTGTTAACAAAAAAATTAATAGTGAAAGACACTGCTTTCCTCATAAGATAAAAAAAAAGGCAAGGATAGCTGCTCACACAATTCCTCCTCAAAAAAAAACAAGAGGGCATACCCAGTGCAATTTAAGGCAAAAAAAAAAAATAGAAATCATACAGACTAGAAAGGAAGAAACAAAAAAATCTATTTGCAGATAACACAATTATCCACTTAGAAAAAAAAAAAAATCTGTGAGTCAGTACAACTAAAAAGTGAGTAAAAAAAGTCACAGGACATAAGGTCAATATGCAAAATCAATAAAAAAACTATATACTATCAACCAAAACCAGGAAATGGGTAAAAAAAAAAAACTATCATTTATAATGGTAAAATACTTAAGTATAAATCTAAAAAAATACGTGCAAAATATGTATGCTAAACTAAAAAAAATGGAAGAAATCAAAAAAGACCCAAATAAATAGAAACCTATACCATATTCATGGATTGGAAAAATCCAATATGGTAAAAAAATTGATCCCCTCAACAGATTCAATGCAATCCCAATAAAAAAAAAATGTACATGGAAAAATACAGAATAGAATAACTAAAAAAAAGAATAACAACATTGGCAGCCTCTTACTGCCTGATTTCAATACTTACTATGAGGTTATAGTAATCAAGAGAAAGAAAAAAAAATGAAAGCACAGACACATAGATTAATGGAACAGAAAAAAAAGTCTAAAAATAGAAGCAAACATATATGGCCAAATAAAAAAATTTTTTTTTTTTTTTTTTTTTGAGATGGAGTCTTAAAAAAACACCCAGGCTGGAGTGCAGTGGTGCGATCTCGGCAAAAAAAAAACTCCGCCTCCTGGGTTCATGCCATTCTCCTGAAAAAAACTCCTGAGTAGCTGGGATTACAGGCGCCCGCCACAAAAAAAGGTTAATTTTTTGTATTTTTAGTAGAGATGGGGTAAAAAAATGCTAGTCAGGATGGTCTGGATCTCTTGACCTCAAAAAAAATGGAAAGGCAATTTCAATGGATAAAAGCATCTTTTCAACAAATAGTTATGAAACAACTAGATATCCATATTAAAAAAAAAAAATCTTGGTCCATATCATGCACCATATACAAAATTAAAAAAAAATGGATGTATCATAGACTAAAACGATGATGACAAAAACCTCTATAAAACTTGAAGAAAACACAGGAAAAAATCTTTGTCAACTTGGGTTAGACAAAGATTTCTTAAATATGACACCCAAATACAGTCCACTAAATTTTTTTTATATGCTGACTTCAAAAAAAATAAAAACTTCTGCTTTTCATATGAGAATGAAAAGAAAAAAAAGAAAAGTGAAAATACTTGCAAAACATGTAACTGAAAAAAATTGTATCCAAATACAGAAAGAATTCTCAAAAGTGAAAAAAAAGAAAATTAAGCAAACTAGGCAACATATATCCTCAAAAAAATTCCTCTGAAAAACTGTCTAAAAACAAGGCTGGTAAAAAAACACATCAAGAGTAAAATAAACACTTGATTTAAATAAAAAAAACTACCTCACAAATAGCTCAACCATCTCCTTATTAAAAAAATAAATAAAACTGCCACAAGCTTCAATTGTCACTAAAAAAAACAGGTGGTATTTTCCTTTTGAAAAAGCACTGTGTATACATACACTGGTTGTTACAGCAAAACTTAATTTAAAAAAAAAAAAAAGTTTGTTATTAATTTTTTTTTTTGATGGGGTCTAAAAAAACCACCTAGGCTGGAGTGCAACGGCATGATCTCCGAAAAAAACAACCTTCTCCTCCTGGGTTCAAGCAATTCTCCTAAAAAAACCTCCTGAGTAGCTGGTATTACAGGTGTGTGCCAAAAAAAATGGCTAGTTTTTGTATTTTTAGTAGAGATGGCATAAAAAAACATTGGCCAGGCTGGTCTTGAACTGCTGACTTCAAAAAAAACACCTGCCTTGGCCTCCCAAAGTGCTGGGATTACAAAAAAAAGCCACCATGCCCAGCCGGTTATTAATTTGTATTAAAAAAACACAGAATAGAATGTGAAATATGTGCCATTAGACAATCAGACGTTTAAACACTAGACTAGCATTTAACACAGCCTAAAAAAAATGTCTTTTTGGTTGATAAAAACCCAATCTTGAGAAAAAAATTTAATAACTAGCTCAATATGCAATGCCCTCAGGAAAAAAACTTTCTTTCTTTCTTTTTTTTTTTTTTGAGACAGAAAAAAACTCTGTCGCCCAGGCTGGAGTGCAGTGGCATGATCTCAGTTCACTGCAACCTCCGCCTCCTGGGTTCAAGTGATTAAAAAAACTCAGTCTCCCAAAAAGCTGGGATGGCTGGTGAGTACCACCACGTCCAGCTAATTTTTGTATTTTTAGTAGAGATGGGGCTTCACCATGTTGGCCAGGCTGGTCTCGAACTCCTGACCTCAGATGATCTACCTGCCTTGGCCTCCCAAAGTGCTGAGAAAAAAAGCATTAGTCATCCTGCCCGGCCCTCCTCAAGTCTAAAAAAATATCACAGAACTTATAATTAGTATTTTTATTAAAAAAAAAATGTAAAGTGAGGGTTTACCAACAATCTACCAGTAAAAAAAATTCAGCCTTTAATTGTATCTTTCTCAGTGTTTCTAAAAAAAAACATTTAAAAACTGCTTATTGTTAATCTTACTAAAAAAAACTTAAAAAAAAAAAAGACCTAAACTATTTTTCTCAAAAAAAAAAGAAGAAGAGTAGGAAGTTCAGTATCTAGAGAAAAAAAACCTCAAGCAAATTAATGTCTTTGGTCCTCTCCTAAAAAAAATGTGAAATTGGGAGGCTATAGATTCACTACATCTGGCCTTGGATTTAAGGTCCAGTCAAATTCTAAAAATCTTGAAAAAAAAGATATCCTTAAATAAAGTGTATTTCTTCCACAATAAAAAAAAAAATCCATATCATCTATAGTAAAAATCTGGCTAAAAAAAAACTTCTCTTGATCTTAGAAGAATAACAAACTTTTAAAAAAATCAGTTTTTCCTCCTCAATAAAAAATGAGGTTTAAAAAAAAAATTTATATCATATATTCCAATTCTATGATCTTCAAAAAAAATAACTTTTAATAATAGTCAAGATCTTTTTGATTGAATAAACACATAACTGTATTAGTTAAATCTAACTCTAATAAAAAAAAAATAGATACATGCTGATAGAAATCAATTTGAATTAAAAAAACTTACTAAAAGTGAACTTAATTTGATCACACAAATAGAAGAACATACTTCAATTTATAGCAAGAGGAAGTAATTAAAAAAAAATACTCTTAACTACTCAGGACTGTTTATATACTAAAAAAAAATCATATTCTTCTTAGATATAAGTGAAAACAAAAAAAAAAATTGATTAATCTAAGAAGAGTCAATCCCAAAATAAAAAAAAACACATCATGAACATAAATAATTATATACTGATAAAAAAAAAGACTGATACTAAATATATATGGGAAAAATAAAATTTCATACATTCAATAATTATAATTCAAGGTACTTATTAAATAAAAAAAATAAGTCTCAGGTTTTCAAAGGGCCTGCCATATCAAAAAAAATAGTATAGCTACTTCCTAGTTCATTTGATTTTAAAATAAAATAGAGTAGGCAGACATACTATATATTTAGACTAAAAAAAAGAGAAGACATTTTTGCCAGTAATACATAGCCACAAAAAAAAATATAGTTATAAAAATTATCCTTAATGGAGTTAAAAAAAAAGATCCAATAATTTCATTTATAGGAATCTGCTCCAAAAAAAAAAGCAGAAATATAGACAAATATGTATGTACAAATAAAAAAAGTGAAGAATTATTTGCAATAGATAAAATTGTAAAAAAAAAAGTTATCTGAAAACAAGGTAGGTTAATATATGATCTATTGACTATATTATTGTACATAACAAAGACTTTTTAACGAAAAAAAAAAAAGCAGATGAGAATTTTTATTTTATCTTTATAAAAAAAAATACTATGTATATTTTACACAGGTGAAAATGATAAAAAAAAAACTTGTATTTCCCAAAGATCATTGCATCAACACAAAAAAAAATGGCAAATGAGAGCCTAGTATAATTCAATCAAAAAAAAAAGAAGGTATGAACAAAGAGGGTATTAATTAATAAAAAAAAAAAGAGGGAATTAATACAATGGCACTAGTAATGAAAAAAAAAAATATTACAGTTTCAAGAGATTTTTAAAAAGCAGAATCAACAGGTTGTGGCTGCCAAGTAGAACAGCAGGTAACAAAAAAAAACTGTAGGTAACAAAGTGGAAGTATGGGTAACAAAAAAAAAATCTGGCTAAATTTTAATTCCACAAACTGAAGTTAAAAAAACAGAAGGCAAAATAGCTTAGGGTAAAATAACAAGAAAAAAAGACTCTGAAATAAAATTTTAAGTTTAAACAGACTTTCTATATATTATGTTTAATATGGCAAGATCCATTCTATATAAAAAAAATGATTTTTATTCAGAAAGGTCCAATCATCTGGAAAAAAAACTAATATGGAATACATTTCTTAATGAAGCAATAAAAAAAAATTATTGTTATTGTAAAATCTTTATTCAGAATTATAAAAAAAGGGGAATAAAGTGTTTAATTTTTATCAAAATATTTTAATTTGAAAATGGCAAACATGAACTATTTCAAGAAAAAGAAAAAAAAGTTACCATATCATTTTTATTCTCCATAAAAATGAAAAAAATCTTCAAGAATGACACAACTAGAATTAGCAGCTCAAAATTGTCCCGATCAAGGGCCTTCACCAACATGTGAACTAAAAAAAAGTTCCTCATTTTCAGTTCGGTACGAGTATCCTCAGCAAGATTCAGAAGCAAATAAAGAGCAACTAGAAAAATGAAAAAAAAAAGAGTTGAAGAATTAGTAAACTGAATCAACAATTTAGAAAATCATTTCTACTCACCAAGGCAACAGAGATAGCCCAAAAAAATTAATATATTATTTTGAAAATTTTAACTGGTTAGAAAAAAATTAATTAAAAACCATTTATTATTACTGAATGGGAAAAAAAAGTGTGTGTGTGTGTGTGTGTATTTTAAATAAAACAAAAAAATAAAAAATAATTCATACAATGCTGAGAAGGACACAAAAAAAAAAATAAAACAATGATTCCTGCCCTCTTGGAGCTAAAAAAATAATAGAAATCAAATGGCAACTAAAGGTAGATAAAAAAAAAAAAAATAACGCAGACAGGGGAAAATAGTTTTTATAAAAAAAGAAAACAAGATAACATATTATAAAACTTTAACACAAAAAAACTGCTGTGTTAAAAAGTGTAATAATCCAAAATATACAGTATAGCTACAGCTAAATTTGAGCCTACTAAAATCGACTTTTCGTATGCAAACCGATTTTCTGTTAGTCACTATAAGAAAAAAAAATATGAAATTCAGTAAGACAATTATTGTACTAGACAAAAAAAAAGCCACTGTTTGCTAGTTTTAAGTAAAATTTCTTTTAGATTTGTATAATAAAAATGCTTAGGTTCTCAAAGGAAAAAAAAACTCTTTTTATAGTGAAAACGATATTAACAGATAAAAAAAAACATTTTTCCTTGATTGACAGGGAGCTTCAGAGTTCAATTTCTGTAAGAATTATGTAGGTTTTTATGTTCAATACAAAAAAAATGCTCTCTTGTGGCCTCATTGTTTTAGTGTTTCACTTCATGTATTCTTGCCAGCTACCTCTAAATGCTTATGAAAAAAAAAAATACATGCATATGCATATTCATAAGTAGATAAATAAAAAAATTATTTATTTAACAAATATTAGAGATGGAGAGTGAAAAAAAAAATGTATTTATTGTATGCCAGGCCTGTTGATGTAAAAAAAGTATTTAAATTCTAAAACAGTTTTATGAGGAAAGAAAAAAAATAAAAATTTTACAGATGGGAAACCCCTGATTCAAAAAAAATAAATAACTTTCCCTACCATACAGCTAGAAAGTGAAAAAAATTGAAATTCAAGCCTATCAGATCCAAAGCTCACTAAAAAAATTACACTATTACATTATGCTGACTTTCTATACGAAAAAAAATCAAAAGGTTTTAGAATTACATTGAAAAAACAAAAAAAAAACTCTTTACAGCCAAGATAGATGTAGCAGATTGAAAAAAAAACTCCGAAAATTTATGTTCACCTAAAACCTCAGGAAAAAAAATATTTGGAAATAGGGTCTTTGCAGATGTAACTGGAAAAAAAGAGGTAATAATGGATTAGGGTAGACCGTGAATCCAAAAAAAGGTGTCTTAAGAAGAGGAGGAGATGACATAACAGAGACCGACAGATTGGGAAGAAGGCCATATGAAGACAAAGGCAAAAAAAGGAGTGATGTAGCTAAAAGCCAAGAAGCACCAAGAAAAAAAGGGACCCACCAAAAGCTAGAAAGAGACAGGAGAAAAAAAAATTCCAGAGCCTTCAGAGAGAACATGGGCCTGATGATACCTTGATTTTGGCCTTCCACCCTCCAGAGCTATGACAGAAAAAAATTCTGTTGTTTTAAGCCATCCAGTTTACGGTAATAAAAAAAAGCACCCCAGGAAATTAATAGGATGGGGTTTTAAACCTTTGCCTGACAACACCACGAAAAAACCTGACTGAAATAAAAAAAACAAAGATTTTCACAATAGTGGACACCAGACAAGGAAAAAAAGTAATCCCTGAGAGATAAGAAATAAATGAGATAGAAAAAAATTTATCCTAGAATATTGCCTTGAGAGAGTTTCCAAAAAAAAACACAGTGAAGGAGAATCCAGGCAGAACCTGATAAAAAAAATGACTTAAGGAGATGAAGCCAAGAATCCAGAGATAAAAAAAAGTTCACAGAAAAGAGTATTGAAGAAGAAAGAGCAAAAAAAAGAGAAACTCTGGAGTTCTAACAGAGGCCTCCCTAAAAAAATGAGTTGAGTATTGATGGGAGCGTAGGAATTTAAAAAAAAATGGGACAGAACAAAATGAGAGGAGTAGAAGAACAAAGCTGAAAATAATGCCTGCTTCTACCAACCATACTGGCAAAAAAAAAATTCATGCATGAGTGGGTAGAGTCCTCAGAAGGGTCTTGCCTCCATAGTGGGAAATAACCAGCTTTATACTAAATAAAAAAACTGTCCAGACTAACAAATTATAAGAGTAAGATCCAAAAAAATACAACTGTTTCCAAGTAATTTAATTATGTTCCCAAAAAAAACTCAAAGATATTTTTAGGAATAAAAAATCCACCAAAAAAAATGTAAATTTCACTGTCTTGCTTTTTTTTTTTTTAAAAAAAGACGGAGTTTTGCTCTTGTTGCCCAGGCTGGAGTAAAAAAATGCGATCTCGGCTCACTGCAACCTCCACCTCCCAAAAAAAAGCAATTCTCCTGCCTCAGTCTCTCGAGTAGCTGGAAAAAAAGGCATCCACCACTACTCCTGGCTAATTTTGTATTAAAAAAAAGAGACAGTGTTTCACCATGTTGGTCAGGCTGGTAAAAAAATTCTGACCTCAGGTGATCTGCCTGCCTCGGCCTCAAAAAAAGCTGGGATTACAGGCATGAGCCACTGTGCCTGACCCTGTCTTGCTTCTAATCAAAGATTATCAGTCATACAAGAAAAAAAAAATATAACTCACAAGGAAGAGAAAAATGAACCAATAAAAAAAGTCCAAGAATTGACCTAGAGTTTAATTATAAAAAAAAAAAATTATAAGTTATATAACTGCATTCCAGATCTTCTAAAAAAAAAGTAGAGACATGGGAGATACCACAAAAAAATTCAAAAAAAAATCACTGAAAATTACAATGCTTGCGACTGTAAACTAGATGAAATTAACAGCAGTTTAGAAACAGGAGAAAAAAAGAAAAAAAAAACTGAAGACATAATCACAGAAACTATCCAAAAAAAAAAACACAGAAAAACATGGAAAAAATGTTGAGTTTCAGAGAACTGTGGAACAACTTCAAGTGGCCTAATATATGTTTACAAAAAAAACCTGAAAAAATAGTAACAGAAACATTTCCAAATAAAAAAAAAATTATAAACCCAGAGTTTCAACAAGCTCCCTAAAAAAAAAAAACAAGAAACAGAAAGAAAATTACACCAAGGTCCGTCATAATAAATTACTCAAAATGAATGATGAAGAGACAAAAAAAAAAGCATTCCAAGAAAAAGAGACCTTATATTAATATAAAAAAAAAGATAGCATGACAGCAGACTTCTCATCAAAAACAGCGCAAACAAGGCAACAATGGAGCAACATCCTTATAGTATAAAAAAAGGTTGTCAACCTAGAGTTCTAAGCCCAGTGAAAAAAAAAAAAAAAGATAAAAATATTTTTAAAATAAGACATTTTAAAAAAAACAAAAGGTAATTAACCACTGGTAAATATGTCCTAAAAAAAACATTACAGGAAATTGCTCAGGCAAAAAGAAAATAAAAAAAGACAGAAATATGGATCTATGCAAAGGAATAACATAAAAAAAAATGGTAATTCTACAAGTACATATATAAGATTATAAAAAAAGTAAATATATATTTAAAATAAAATTGATTATAAAAAAAAAATGTGTTATAAGGTTTTTTGTTTGTTTTTGGCTTTAAAAAAAGAGATAGAGTCTCACTCTGTCACCTGACTGGAGTAAAAAAATACGATCTTGGCTCACTGCAACCTCTGCCTCCCAAAAAAAAGTGATTATCTTGCCTCAGCCTCCTGAGTAGCTGGAAAAAAAAGGCATGTGCCACCACACCCGGCTAATTTTTGTTAAAAAAAAAAGACAGGGTTTCCCTATGTTGCCCAGGCTGGTAAAAAAATCTGGACCTCAAGTTATCTGCCCACCTGGGCCTCAAAAAAAGCTGGGATTACAGGTGTGAGCCACCACACCTGGCCTTGTGATAGGGTTTGTAACATATGTATAAGTATAATAAATAAAAAAATTAGCATAGAGGTGGGAGAGGGAAGAAGTGATTGAAAAAAAAAGCATGAAATGGCACAAAATACTTGACAGCAGAAAAAAAATATGATAAGTTAAACATGTATCACTTGTAGGTAATTATGATTAAAGATGTGTGATATAAACCTTAAAGCAATCAAAAAAAAAACAAAAGACATATAGCTAAGCTAACAATGGAAATAAAAAAAAATTTTAAAAAGTCTCAAATTCATATGAAGGTGGAAAAAAAGGAAAAAGGAGGAAAAAGACACATACACACATGCAAAAAAAATCTAAATGCTGTTCATAAAAAAACACACTTAATAAAAAAATAAATATATTAAAAATATATAGACAAATACATCCAAAAAAAACACTAGTCACAAGAAGTAGATTAACATAAGAAAAAAAAAATTTTAGACAAAAAAATATATCCAGCCATGATGAAAAAAAAATCATACTGATAACAAGGACAATTCATCAATAGTAAAAAAAAATTCTACATCTTTATGTCCCCAAGAATAGAGAGCTTCAAAAATACATGTGGTGAAAACTGGTAGTAGTACAGGAGAAAAAAATAACTCACAATTATAGTCAGAGATTTCAATATTAAAAAAAAAACAATAGAAAAAGTACAGGAAAACATCAACATAAAAAAAAACTTGAACATCAATTATTTGGGAAAAAAAGATCTAAAAAAAAAATAACCCATGGGTCAAAAAAGAAACCAAAAGAAAAAAAAGAAAGTATTTAAACTGAATGAAAATGAAAACAGGAAAAAAAAAAATCTGTGGGATGCCATCAAAGAAGTGCTTAAAAAAAAATTTTTAGCACTAAATATCTGTATTTGAGAAGAAAAAAAAAAAATAAATGACCTCAGCTTCTATCTTAAAAAAAACAAAAAAACAAACAAAAAACAAAAAACAAAAATGTAAGAGCAAAAAAAACCCAAAGTAAGCTGAAGAAAAAAAATTATAAAGAAAAAAAAAGAAATCAATGGAATAAAAAATTGGTAGGGCTAAAAAAAAATGATATCAAAATTTTCTATAAGCTATGGTAATGAAAAAAAAGTGCTACTGGCATCAAAACACACAAAAGTGATGGAAAAAAAAAAATAGAAACCCAAAAATAGGCATGACACATATAAAAAAATGGTTCTGACAAAGATATAAATCAATTCAGTAGATAAAAGATAGTGTTCTCAAAAGTAGTACTTACATAATTAGCAAAAAAAATGCAAAAAAAATGAAGAACTTTGATCCATTCCTAAAAAAATATACAAAAATTAACTCAAAATGTATTATAGGCTAAAAAAAACTGAGACTATACAACTTCTAGAAGAAAACATATAAAAAAATAATTGTAACCTTTGGTTAGGAAAGGATTTCTTAAAAAAAATACCAAAACCACGATCGAAAAAACACTAAGTTGGAAAAAAAAAAAATGTAAAATTCTGCTCTTAAAAAGATACTTAAAAAAAATGAAATCATGTATCTGCATAAATGCTTATATCCAAAAAAAGTAAAGAATATATATAAAACAATCCAATTTAATAAAAAAAAAAAAATTATGAAGGCACACTTCAACAAACAAAGAAAAAAAAGATAAGCACATCAAGAGATGCTCAACATAATCAGAAAAAAAAGAAATTCAAATCAAAACCACATACATTCATGGTAAAAAAACAAAAACGACTATTATAGAAAAACATCTGGCAGTAAAAAAAAAAGTTAAACATACGCCTATCATATGACTCAGCCATTCCATCATTAGGTATTTAACTAAGAGAGAAGAAAGTGTAAAAAAAAACAAAGACTTGTAGACAAATGTTCACAGCAGCATTAAAATTGCCAAAAATTGGACATATTCTAAATGATCAACAGAAAAAAACAAAGAAATACTATTTAATAACTATTTGATAAATGCAATAATATGAATGAATCTTTAATTATGCTGAGTAAAAGAAAAAAAAACATATATACTACGTGATTTCATTTATATAAAACAAAAAAAAATGCAAACTAGCCTAAAGTGACAGAAAGCAGATCAATGATGACTTGGGATTGAGGAAGAAGGGAGAAGGTAGAAAAAAAAAGAGAGATTACAAAGATGTATGAGGAAATTTTGGGAAAAAAAGATATGTACTTTATCTTGATTATGGTCACCATTTAAAAAAAATTTACATATGTTAAAATTTACCAAATTATATACAAAAAAATTATACAATTTATTATCTATCAGTTATACCTCACAAAAAAAGTTAAGAGTATACAATATCTGCATAAAAAAAATAAAAAAAAAGAAACAGAGCTTAAACTTTTGCATGTTAAAAAAAAAAAAAGGGCGCGGTGGCGCAAGCCTGTAATCCCAGCGCTAAAAAAAGCCGAGACGGGCGGATCACGAGGTCAGGAGATCGAAAAAAACCTGGTTAACACGGTGAAACCCCGTCTCTACTAAAAAAAAAAAAAACTAGCCGGACGAGGTGGCGGGCGCCTGTAAAAAAAACTACTCGGGAGGCTGAGGCAGGAGAATGGCGGGAAAAAAAAAGGCAGAGCTTGCAGTGAACTGAGATCGCGCCACAAAAAAACAGCCTGGGCGACAGAGCGAGACTCCGTCTCAAAAAAAAAAAAAAAAAAAAAAAGGTCAAATTAGTTCTTCGAAAAAAAAAAACGAAAACAATTGCTTTCTTGAGATCTGATGCATAAAAAAATACATGCTAACATAGATAATACCTATTATTTTCTAAAAAAATTTAAAATGAACTTTTGAAAATCTGACATTTTCTAAAAAAAGCTGAACTAAATTACTTGGCTTCAAATACTTAAAAAAAAAAGTGTAGTTAAAATTGCTAATAATCTTCACAGGATAAAAAAATTTTGGGAGTTAACAAGTATTTCCACATACAAAGAAAAAAAAACACTAATTAACTACATGAATCATCAAACAGTCAAAAAAAAACCAGGAATTAAATTCACACTTAAAAGTCCCATAAAAAAATCACTAACCACCATAAGATTTTACATCTTATCAGAAAAAAAAAAACCATACTATTGAAGTTTTAAATCTCTTAATAAAAAAAGAGACAAGGAATTCTTTTCTATTAAACAAAAGAAAAAAAAAAAAATTTTTATATCAATTTCCTAGGAAAGCAATAAAAAAAATCACTTTATAAAACAAGTAAGTTAGGGTTGAAGAAAAAAAAATTGTTATCATTGAAAAGGTCACACACTAGATTAAAAAAAACTTTCTTAGGAAATAAATAATAAGTATATAAACAAAAAAAAACTAAACGGGGAAAAATAGTAGAATGAAATTTAAAAAAAAACCCATGCTAAAGACAGACGAACTTGTAGCATATTAACATTTATAGAACTTTCAGTTATTCTCACATTAGCTTTACAAAAAAAATAAAAAAGTGAACAAAACAAATGTATTTAGAGTAAAAAAATTGTTGCCTTCCTCATTGCTTAGGAATTCATACCAAAAAAAAGCTGTTCCTGTTTTACCACAAGCCCCTGGTACTAAAAAAAGGTTTTTTCATAATCCTTTCTCAAGGTTTGATTTAAAAAAACTTCATCAAGTAAACAACTTGTTAAGGATCATCCAAAAAAACTGAAGCAAAAAAAATCTACTGATAAATTCTATGAACAACGGCACTATTAGATTTTATATGCAACTTTATCCAGTAAAAAAACTCACCAAAAGTTTAACTAAAATGTTCTCTGTATAAAAAAAGTGCTGTAACAGCACTTCTTATCTAAGTGCTCATAAAAAAACTAGGAGTCCTTGGGTGAACAAACTTTTTTTTAAAAAAAAACACAGCTAACATCATATAGATGTTTGAACCTCACCAAATACTTGAATTCCCAGAAACTGTATGTGAGTATTTTATAAAAAAACACAAATCTATAACTTTCAACAGATTATCAAGTGAAAAAAAGAACCAAAAATATTACTGCCTCAGAGAATGATTTAGTTACTAAGAACACTGGATTTTACTTCAGACAGAGGCCCAAAAAAAATAAAGGATATAGATTAAATCTAAAGCTTTTGTAGAAAAAAATTCAGACTAGAGATGCCAAGAAAGAACTAGCCCAAACTTAAAGGTAAACAAATTTTAAAAATCACATCTTTTGGTAAAAAAACGTCCCCTGGACACCTTGCAAAAATAATCAGTTATTTCAGTGAGTCAAGCATATGACCCCAGAATATGAGTCAATAAAAAAAACCTTGTTGAATACGACTTGTATCAAAGTACAAAAAAAAAAAGGACATAATAAAATAGTAACATGTCAGGAGAAAAAAAAAAAATTCTGATGTAATTTTTATATCCCTTCAATTACAAAAAAATATTGAGTCTAAGACACATTTTCCTCACATCTTAAAAAAAACAAAATGGGATGTGTCTTATAATCCATGATGTGTAAAAAAATAATTGAAAGCATATGTTCCTCTCCTAGCGGTTAAAAAAAAGTGAATCTTAAAATTAATGGTGTCTGATATAGAAAAAAAAAATGTCTTAAGATATCAGTTCTTGTCACCAAACAATCACAAAATGCAAATTCATGATTGCTAAAGAGTTCCACTAGAAAAAAACTGCATACTTCTCCAGTTTAAATAAATTTTAGATATCACTGAAGCATTCAGGAGTCTTGGGACTCCAGAACTGATAAAAAAACTCTAGGATTCTTGGGTTGTCGATGTAGTTGAGTAAAAAAAAATCTAGATGCCAGAAGTTTATGGTATGCATAGGAAAAAAATAAACCTGAAAAGATTCTAATTAAGAAAAGTCAAAAAAAAAGTGTGGTGTGGATTTTATAGCATCTTGGAATTCCAAAAAAAAATAATAAAAGTCTGAGAGATTTTGTACACAATAAAAAAAATTAACCTATTACAACACAGATTAAATTGAAGCCTAAAAAAATCCGGAGGCCAAAATTAATATAAAAGTAAGGTCCACTTTTGCACAAAGCAGAGTTAAAAATGTATGATACACTGCAAAAAAAGAATAAAGTTTTCACTTTTTAAAAGACACAATAAAAAAAAAATTCAAAGGAAAGTTACCAGCATGCCTAGTTGATCTACAAAACACATCATGTTTGAACAGATAGGAATAAACCAGGGGCCTCCGATCCAGAAGCATTAAGTTGTAGAGGCTAAAATATGATAAATATCTTCAAATATGAGAAGAATTATGATGTTGAAAAAAAAATCCTTATTCCATATTGCTTTGGTATGCAATACTAAAAAAAATGGATAGAAGTTATTGGGAAATGGACTTCAGTGAAAAAAACAAAAGACTATTATAATAAACAGAACGCTAAACCAAAAAAAGGGTGAAATAGATAAGCATTGACATTGTTAAAGAAAAAAAAATGTAATGCCATTTGCCAGGGAAGTTGCAGAAAAAAAAAAAATATTTGCAAGATAGGTTAAAACAGATACCTAAGAAAAAAATCACAGGTTCTATCATTCTATAGGCCTTTCAAATAAAAAAATATTAACAACAGTATTTTTGCACTTTCCTAGAAAAAAAAAAACTTTAGGTTCATCACCAAATTTACACCCATTCTAAAAAAAGTCACCTTAGTACTCACATAGAAGTATATAAGTAAAAAAAATGAACTAGGCTTCAACTAACCAAAGGATCATAGTAAAAAAAATTACGTAATCCTTTAGAGGTTCACCTACTAAGTTACCCGACACAACTACTACCTGCTCCTTCTACCTCATTAGCAAAAAAAGGTTGTTAAAAGACAAAAAGTGAATGTCAAACTGAAAAAAATTTGACAGTTGCAATCTACTTCTTAACCTTCAATAAAAAAATCCTGCATTGTTTCCAAGTAATGCAATTAACAATAAAAAAAAAGAAAAAAGAAAAGAACAAAACCATCCCACCCAAAAAAAACTTATAGCAAAAGGCAAAAGAGGGTTCAAATGCCAAAAAAAAAGGATATCAGCTTTCTTCTTCTTTGAAAGTTCTAAAAAAAAAAGCTCATGTCTTTTTAACTCATGATCAATAATAAAAAAACACAGAGCTCCAATTTTATAATGAGTAATAAGTCAAAAAAACTGAGAAAAGCTTTAAAGAAGACATTTTAATATAAAAAAAAAAGAATACATTTTATGGGTACAGGAAATTTGTTTAAAAAAATCAATGGTACAAACCATGTAGAAAATAAATTTGAAAAAAAAATTTTAAAAGATATATCAACAATACACTACTAGGAAAAAAAGAGATTATAAAATTATTTTAAATATATCACACTACCATTACCTAAAATACAGTTATTTTTAAGAAGTTAGAAAGTAAAAAAATTTTGTAACTAACCACCATATTAACTACTCAGATAAAAAAAATAGATTTTTAGATTATTGTCTAACAAAACTAATAAAAAAACAATACTAGACATACATTTTATTTATTGTGTAAAACTGACATCAATTAGTAAAGTACTAGTAATTAGGTTTTACAAAAAAAATCTAGACAATTCATTCATCCAAGTATTTATTCAAAAAAAAATTATTTGCTAATACTAGCACATTTTTAGAACAGAAGCAGCAATTCTCTAGGAATTGGCTAGAACTTTTCATAACAAAAAAAAAAACATCTTTCTTAAGGATATATGTGTATAAATAAAAAAAATGAATACATAATAAGTATGTATTTGCACATACATAAAAAAATATAACAATAACATTTACTGAGCACTTACTGTGGAAAAAAACTTATTCTAAGCATTTTAATTTTTAATTCATTTAAAAAAAAAAACTATCCAAAGAGGGCGCGACTATTACTATCCAAATTTTACTCATAAGGAAACTGAGGCATGAGTGAGTATAGAAAAAAAGAAAGATAGAATAACAGATAGCAAGACAGAAAATAAAAAAAAGGAATAAGAATTTAGCGGTACAGCATAGGCAGAAAAAAAAAGAAACTGAGAGAACGAGTGATCTACAAATTGAAAAAAAAACACAAACAGCAATAGAGATACAGTAGTCATTTGAAAAAAAAATTTTTATACTCACCTGGAAAAGCAAAAAAAGATAAAAAAAATGTTTGTAGCTAACTCAACACTTTGCTTCCAGTCTTCTCTCAGGACCCTTGCTAATGCACCAAGGGCAGTTTCTAAAGAAAAAGGAGAAGTACCGAAATGATCATTCTCCTTGCTAAAAAAAAAAGGGTGATTGCTTTTAAATGTCTAGTTATTAAAAAAAAACAAAGCTAAGATAGAACTGGGACAAAAAGTAGTATGCTTCTTTCCAATACGGACAGCTACTTTTAAAACTAAAATAAAAAAATACTTAAAGATACGTAACATGCTACTTCAAGTATAAAAAAAACACAGAAGTAATCAAATATGATTTAGATAAAGTAAAAAAATATATATTATGGTAACAATAAAATAATTAAAAAGAAAAAAATTTTTTAATTTAATAATCTTAAATTAAGAACTGCAAAAAAAATTTGTAAGATTAAGAACTGTACTCTTACTACTGAAAAAAAGATTTTTTTCTTTTTAACATCTGATTTAATGTATAAAAAAATATGAAAAAAACTTGAATAAGTCTAGAAAAAAATAAAAAAATTAGTAGATTAACACTAGTTCCATTAAAGTAAATAAAAAAACAAATAAAATCTATACACAGAAAAATAAATTTAAAAAAAAAGTATCACACTGAATTTATGCTAAGAGCCGCAAATAAAAAAAAAAGCTTTCACAAAATTAACTTTCAGGTAGGTTAAAAAAAATTTCTGCTAAAATTTTCTCTTCAGGAAATGAAAAAAAAAAATTAATGACATAGTTTCAAATTGGGTTGGTACATGAAAAAAAAATTCTTAAAATAATTAAAACAAAATAAAATATCAAAAAAATAAAATATAAAAATCATAATTCCACTGTTTTTAAAAAAAAATCAGGATTTACAATAGTACTTTATGGACTGCATTAAAAAAATTTATTATGGTAATGAAAATGTTCCATATTTGAGAAAAAAAGCTATTCGGACTATGAACAAAAATTAATTGTATTAGTTATGAATCCACATAGTGACAAATTTTTTAGCAAACTAAAAAAAAACCTATGATAGCATTTCACAGTATTATTCATATTCAAAAAAAAGAGAACTGGAATAGTATATGCTTTGAAAAAAATAAAAAAAGAGTCATGTAAATAGGTTGGCAATGCATATTAACAAAAAAAGCCTCCCAAAAGTCCTATTTAATAAAGAATCCAGTATAGCTTTGTTCAATCTAGTAATTCCCAAAGGTATTTGACAAAAAAAATCCAGAGAAAATAGTATTTCTTAAAATACTAGCAAAAAAAGAACTGTTCTATAATGTCATAAATTTAGGCATAGAAAAAAAGACCTATTTGCAAAATTTTATTTCATTTTTCTCCTTTAAAACAGAATAGAGAAACATCTCAATAAAAATACAGTTAAAAAAATTGTACACAGTTTACCAAGAAACAGCTAAAAGAAAAAAAAATTTACAAGAGGTTAAAAGACAATCCCAAATTAATAAAAAAATTGAATGCAATCATAATCAAAATCCCATTATGACTTTTCACAGAATATGATGAAGTAATCTCAAAGTATGTAAGAAAAAAAAGCAAGACCAGTAAAGCCAATTCTTGGGGAAAGAAAAAAAAATGGAACATTTTTTCCCACATATTCTAAAGTTCAAAAAAAAATAAAAAACAACACAACAATAGTGTGGTATCGGTAAAAAAAAAATCAAATAAACCAATGGAACAGAAGGAGAGGGAAAAAAAAAACAATTCCATGAAAATATGGAACAGTACCTGCCAAAAAAAAAGTTTTCAAGAATTATCTATTTCATAAAAGAATAAAAAAAATATAGTAGAAAAGGCATTTGAAATACTTATTTGAAAAAAATGATTGAGAAAACTATTGATTTGAATTATTTTATAAAAAAATTTGGCAACAACCAGAAAGGCATTCTCTCTCATGAAAAAAAAACCAGATAATAAACACATCTTTCCTATTTTGTTAAAAAAAAATGTATAATCAGAAAACTATGGATTTAAAATGAAAAAAAAGGCAGGGCGTGCGGTGGCTCATGCCTGTAATCCCAAAAAAATGGAAAGCGGAGGCGGGTAGATCACCTGAGGTCGAAAAAAACAGATCAGCCTGACCAATATGGTGAAACCCTGTCTCTACTAAACACACACACACACAAATTAGCCGGGCATGGTGGCACATGCCTGTAATCCCAGCTACTCAGGAGGCTGAGACGGGAGAATCACATGAACCCGGGAGGCGGAGGTTGCAGTGAGCCAAAAAAAGCAGTGAGCAGAGATCGTGCCACCGCACTCCAGCAAAAAAAACAGAGGGAGACCTTGTCTCAAAAACAAAAACAAAAAAAAACAAAACAAAACAAAACAAAAATGATTCTATAGTGAAAAAAATGAGAAAAGGGTGTTAAAAACATTCTATCTCCTTAAAAAAATACTACCAAGTACTTCCAGTGAAAGGAAAGCAAAAAAAAAATGTGAAATTCAATCTCAATGAAACTGCAAAGATTAATAGCTTTCCCTGTGCTACTGAGAAAAAACTAATACTGGAAAAAAAATAAAACATGATATATATATTTATGCAAATGTCTGAAAAAAAATCTTATATTCTAATTGAAACAATAAAAGAGTTTCCCAGAGTAGAAGAAAGAAAAGGTATAGTACCATTAATGCTAAAAAAACCTTGTTTACATTAAACGGTTTGTGAATTCTCCGGAGAATATTTAAATGCTATGCTCTCAATTTAAGAAATCTGAAAAAAAAGAAATAAAAAGCTGGAAAATATATGCAGTCTTAAAAAAAAAATATATAATTGTAACTTGTTCATCTATTATGATTAAAAAAATTTTATGGTAATCACCATTTAATAGTAGTTCTTCAAAAAAATCAGGATTTCGAGCAAGCTGCAGGATCAAAGCAGAACCCCGAACCTTGTCAGGAATATCTTCATATAATAACTCAAAAAAAACATCCATGTCATTAATGTTAGCAACTTCATCAATAAAAAAAAAAGGAAGAAGCAGAAAGTACTCATCAACAATGCAAAAAAAATCCACTGTCAAAGAAATAATATTTTGTGATCAAAAAAAAAATAACAATACAGAAATTTCCAAAGAACTCATAGTAACCATCTTTTTGGATAGGGAAATTTTAGATCTTTAGACCTAAAAAAATAATACAAAACCCCATGATAAAATGAGATGTATAAAAAAAATAAAAATTGTTTATCAATATAAAGTATCTTAAATAAAAAAAAAAATATTTGTATCTACTATAGTAGATTAAACAAAAAAAAAAAACATATTACAATAAGAATATGTAAACATTTTTAAAAAAAATTTACCAAAATTAATTGTTTAGAAAGCACAACCAAAAAAAGGTACAGCGGCTCACAGCTACAATCCCAGCACTTTGGGAGGCCAAGGCGGGCAGATCACAAGGTCAGGAGTTCGAGACCAGCCTGACCAACATGGTGAAGCCTCGTCTCTACTAAAAATACAAAAATTAGCTGGGTGTGGTGGCACGCACCTGTAATCCCAGCTACTCAGGAGGCTGAGGCAGGAAAATCGCTTGAACAAAAAAAGCAGAGGTTGTGGTGAGCCGAGATCACGCAAAAAAAAAAAAAGAACCAATACTTTTTGTCTTTTTCAATTAAATAAAAAAAATCTACCTTTCTCAGGTACCTGAGTTCAGTCATTTAAAAAAAATACCACATGCTTAATGTGATTGTGTGTATTATTAAAAAAAAAAGGCAATATCTTATAATTCAGTCCTCTATTAGATCAGAACGCATGCAGTCTTACCTCCATTCCTTCAAAAGGAAAAAAAACTTTAGGCTTGCTTGATTTTTCTTTTTTCTCTGTAAAAAAATTTTTTTTTTAAATAAGGAGAATTAGGTTTTTAGAAAAAAAAGGTAATTTTTATTTTCAGCAGCTGAGTTTAATTAAAAAAAAACTGGGGATATTAAAACCAGTTTATGAAATAATAAAAAAACAATGTATAAAAATGCTCATATATAATCAATTCGAAAAAAAGAGGATATCAAGGAGAGTATAAATTAATAAAATCAAAAAAACCAACTTCCTCCTTGGTTAACTTTTTGGGTATGTAAGGTATACAGTCAGACTTGCCAACAAGCAGCAAAATAGTCAAAAAAAAGTATCCTCTCTTTCCCTTCCTAATTCAAATTTAAAAAAAAAATAGGAAAATCAATAAGGCAAAGAAAAAAGTATAAAAAAAGTAATATAAAAACTAAAATGAAAATTAACAAAGCAAAAAAAAATAAAAATTGGTAAATTTAAAACCTAAGATACAAAAAAAATGTTAACTGGTTCTTTTTTAACAAGTAAAATTAAAAAAAAAAATTAAAAGGCAAACATTTATTACTTATATTAATAAAAAAACCACTTATTCCCAAATAAAGAGTTATCCAAAGGTGCTGAACACAAGTTTGAGCCATTCATTTATATTGAATTATCAAAAAAATGGCATAATTTCATTTTTTAACAAAAAAACTATCAAATACTTTATTGATCTGGATTATAAGTCTAAGTAATGTATAAAAAAAAAAGTAAGTTAGAATGTTATCAAAATTTTTGATTAAAAAAATAGCAAATAAATATATGATAGAATTAGTCATTATAAAAAAAGGACAGCACTCATTCTATATAAGATCATACATTCAAAAAAACTTAATTCTGCTTCAGACAGATAATTTACTAAGACAGTGGTTTTAATTATGCAAAAAAAATCACTGAATGTAATGAAAAAAACAACCAAGTAAGTATTATTGTTTCAATTGCTTTTAAAAAAAGATTTCTGGCTTTGGAATACCGCTTGCCAAGTAAAAGAATTTTAACAAAGAAAACCAGTAGTGTAAAAAAAAGCGAAAAAAAAATATACACTTCCTAAAGCATTTCCTATGTCTTCAAAAAAAAATAATACTCTACCCAGATAGAGAAAATATTGATTTGAATTATTTTATCCATGTATGATGACATGAACATTTTTTAAAAAAACTCTAATTTCTGGGGAGCAAGGTAAAACCACTGAAAAAAAATGAAAACACAGTGAAAGAGTTTTTACTGGTTCAAAAAAAAATTATTCTAAATGCCTTCAGAATTATATTAATTTGAAAAAAAGAAAGATCAACTTTAACTATACTGTACAACCTACAAAAAAAAGACACAGATCTTAAAAGACTACCAGATTTGCTTAAAAAAATGGATTTATTGGACTATGTGATCTCTCATCATTTACAGACATCTTAACAAGAATATTCTATTAACAAAATACTTAAAAAAAACTTTCCTTGATAATATTTTCCTTATCTACATAGTACTTAACAATGCCAGGTATGTGATTAGAAGCAATCACGTTCAAAAAAACTATTTTTGCTTTTTTTTTTTTTTGAGACGGAGTAAAAAAATGTTGTCAGGATGGAGTGCAGTGGCACGGTCTTGACTCACTGCAACCTCTGCCTCCTGGGTTCAAGCGATTCTCCTGCCTCAGCCTCCTGAGTAGCTGGGGTCACAAGCATGCACCAAAAAAACCAACTATTTTTGCATTTTTACTAGAGATGGGGTAAAAAAATGTTGGCCAGGATGGTCTCGATCTCTTGACCTCGAAAAAAACTCGCCTCGGCCTCCCCAAGTGCTGAGATTACAGAAAAAAACCACCATACCCAGCCCTTTTTGCTTTTAAATAAAAAAAAAACCATTTAATTCATTCAACAAATAAATGTTGACCAAAAAAAATAGACACTGTATTCACAGCTAATAAAAGTATATAAAAAAAACAAGGCATTTTATTTGCTGTGTATGAAGAGAGACAAAAAAAAAAAAATTCCAAACAAAATTTTCTTTTTTTTTCCAAAAAAATCCAATCAAAACTTCAGCACTGATATATTATTTTAAAAAAACCAGCTGGGCACAGTGCCTCATGCCTGTAATCCCAAAAAAATGGGAAGCCGAGGCAGGAGGATCGCTTGAACCCAAAAAAAAGAGACTAGCCTAGGCAACACAGTGAGACTCCCATAAAAAAAAAAAATGTAAAAAATTAGCCAGGTGTGGTTACAATTTAGTGGTGAACTCATAAAGGGATACCCATCATGGGCATCAAAAAAAGGCTCGGTAACCTCTTGACATTTCAGAGGCCCGGAAAAAAATCCAAGTGGCTGCCTGGCTTCTTTAAGCCAGGGGCTGTCTCTGCTGCCTCCCTTGCCAGCAAGGCATTGCCGACCAAAAAAAAAGCTTGCTTGGAGTAGAGAAACAGTTTCTGAATAAAAAAAACTTCTCCGGTAAGTATTCCCAAGCGCAATCGACAAAAAAATTGCCTTCTCCTGATCTGTTGGCCTCCTTAAAGGAAAAAAAGCCTCTTCAGAGGTCCTGTTGACACTTCCTAATCAAAAAAAAGGGCCCTGTTTAAGGGGGATTTTCCCAATTGGAAAAAAAACAAAGGGCAATGTTTGGGGGGAGTACTCCTGGATAAAAAAATTTCAGTTATGAAACCTGATTTTAGAGTTCTGACTTACCGGGGTCTCATGTCTGTTCTTATCTTGTCCTGTTTGTAAAAAAAGAACCCAGAAGGAAACATTAGCAGAAGTTCAGTGAAAAAAACAAGTGGAAAGGGGGGTCTGTTTTATCTGTTTTGCTAGGTTAAAACTTGGATACTGAGCCAAGTAACTGGTGTTTAAAAAAATTATGTGTGTATTGTAATTTTCTCTCGGTCGATAAAAAAAATGCTAACTTGATCCCTCCTACCTCAAGCAGCCCCTTGGATTCTATCTTGCAAAACTGGGCAGCTTTCACCTATGAAAAAAAAAAAACAAAGAAAATGGTTTTCTTTCATAATCAGCAAAAAAAGTGATCAAAGCTCTGCTCTTTTGGAAGCCACAGTTTAAGAGAATCCAGGAACCCAACAAGGGGGCAACAGGGTAGAAAAAAACGTTTACCAGTCAGGTTCCTGATCTCTCTGTGTAAAAAAAAGCTGAGCAAAAGGTAAAAAAATCAGTTTCCTGCAAAAAAAAGATTAATAGGAGAAAAAGATGTGTATGACTAGTCAAAAAAAATACTGACTCTGGTGTACTTTTTGGTTTATTAATAAAAAAATTGTTCCCTTTCTTTCCAGAAATAATCTTTTCTTAAAAAAACTGTGCTCTTCATAAAGAAAAGGTACTAACTGAGGGCTCCTCTCATCTTGTTTTATGTCCTTGAAAACTTGACCTAAAAAAAAGTGAGCTCTATAAAATAGAACAATTCCTTTACAAAAAAAACTCTGGTTTCAATAATTACTTCATTTTGCTCTTCAAAAAAACTGGCTACCTTCTTGGAGAACACAGGTCACAGAGAAAAAAACTATTGCCCTGACATAATTTTCTGCTTTTGCGGGAAAAAAAGAGGCTAGTGACCTGAGCTCACACAGACCCACATAAAAAAATTCTCTAGCCTTAAGGCCCAACCAGCAATCCGTTTTACTGTCATTTTAGCCATTATAGATGACAACAAGCAAGGAAAAAAAAATTATGTTTTTTTCATATTAGTTTGCATTTCCTTAAAAAAACAGTGAACCAAGTCCCCAGAAGTTGTATCCATCTAAAAAAACACTGTAACTTTTACCTTTAGTAATTGGGCACAGAAAAAAAGCAGTTCCATGCCATGGATGATCACATGGTCACAAAAAAAATAAAGGTTCCTTATCCTCCACCTTTTTATTTTATAAAAAAATAACATCAGCTCCCTGAGGAAACTATACTGAAATAAAAAAAGAGAGTAACTAATTTGGGAGCAGTGTCTTTGGTTTTAAATGCTGCAGAGTGAAAGAACGTGTTTGGGTTGGTATGAAAAAAACTGCTCACAATTAAACAATTGCAAATGATTATACAAAAAAAAGACAAACAGGACATGATTAGTGAGGAAAGAGTTAGCCTAATGAATTGGATAAAAGCCACAGTAAGGTTTCTTTAAAAAAAAAAAGGGGACTGTCCGACTCTACCTGTAACTGCCAAGTGGAGTACCCCAGATGAAGCAGCTAATGTGGTTTGTATGCAAGCCATATGGGACTGGCATTATGATGACAGGGATATTCAAAAAAAAAATATGCCCATTACCCAGGTCATGGTCAGCTTCTAAAAAAAGGTCTTACAGATGCTAACAGAAAATATGAGGTTCAAAAAAAAGGGAATGGTGAAGGGTAGAGGGGAGGGTCAAAGGATGCATCCCAGGAAGATGGGAAGTTTTAAACAGTTATTAAAAAAAAAGATGAATGAAGAAAACATTGATAGGAGTAAAACTAAAAAAAAAAGAAAAGGGGAGAGTCAGGGGACTCATCCCAGCAGAATGAAAATCTTTAGACAGTTATTAAGAAATTGAATGAAAAAAAAGGAAATTGATGGCGTTCAAACAAAGGCCTTAATTAAAAAAACCCCCAATATTAAAGGGTACCAAATCAGTTTTCTAAAAAAACCCCAATTGGAGACATTTTTTTAAAAATCAGAAGACAAAGATCAGTATGAGAAAACTGACCAACAATTGCCTAGGAAAAAAATGAGGTTACTAATCAACATAAAGATTGACTAAAAAAAAAAAGTCCCTTAGCTAAACCCTCTGCTGGGAACCCAAAAAAAAAATCACAGGAGAGGGTAAAATGGTCTGGGAGTGAAGAAAAAAAGCCAGGACCAGAACATAAAATTAAGGGTGGATAGGATTATCAAAGTTGAAATGTTTATACAGGCTTTTTGTAAGTAAAAAAATATTCTTTACCTAAATGTCTTATGAAAATGGATAAAAAAAATGACTAGGGGATGTTTTCTCTACCTAGTACTATAAAACTGAAGGCATGCAAATCTGCCCTTCAAGCTATAATTAAAAAAAAATACTACAATGGGAACCAGTAAGATTGCCCGAGCCAAAAAAATATGGAATAGAAGCTGGAGTGCTGGTAGGAACAAAAAAAAAACTTGATAGCCTTTTGTGGAATGTTTACTGAGGCAAAAAAAAAAAGTCTGTGAGCACATCCCAGTGATGACTGCTAAAAAAATGGACTAGAGAATTTCCACTTAAGAGGCATTTACAAAAAAATTACAGGACATTAACTGAAGACATCCTATGATGGAAAAAAATACAATGATCATGACATCTGAAATACCCATGCTAAAAAAAACAATGTCAGAAACAGTCTAACTGGGGACAGCAGTAAAAAAAAGAGCTCCATAATAAAATGGAGATACTTTGTATAAAAAAAAGCTACTTGGGAAATTCAAGGAGGAGATACTCATGAAAAAAAAGCCTCTTTTTCCCCAGGATTGACTCTGAAACTGTGTGAGAAGCTGCAGGATTCTACGGTGCCCGTTAAACAGCTCTTACCTGACTGACAAAGAGCTGCCTGATTTATGAAAGGCAAAAAAAAGGTGAACAGACAACATCCTATTTGGAAGTCGGCTAAAAAAACTGAAGACGAGTCAAGAAAACTTTTTTTTTCTTTAAAAAAATTTATAGCTTATGACAAGTAAAGTACATCTTTATGAGCAAAATTTGCCTTTCTACCTGAGTTCTCACAAATGTGGAAAAAAAATTCATAAGTATTATTTTATGGCAATATAGTTATAAAAAAAAGTTCAATAAGAATCTGCTTTTTTTTGTAGCAGGAAAAAAATGCAGATGCTGGTTACTTTACCAAGGCTGTGACTAAAAAAACATATTTTCAGATACGACTAAACTGCTTTGAGGAATTGATGTTGACTTTATAGAGCCAATAAAAGCCCCTCGGAAAGACTAGCCTTCTACCTTGTCTATGTAGTTTCTTTTTAGGGTTCCTCACCTGTGATAAGTAAAAAATGTTACTTTCAACAGAAAAAAAAACCTCAAGTTATTTTGGGATCTCCACAAGAAATGAAAAAAACCAATTCATACAGGTGTCTGCAGGCATGGATAAAAAAAAAATTTAGCTAACCTTGAGGCTTTCAAAAAGTCTAAACTAAGATTCCTTATGGAAAAGTTCCTGCAAAGTCAACTTAAAAAAAAATATATGGACAATCAATATTCTTGCCATACTTTATAAAAAAAGGCCAAGTATAATAAGACTTATTTTGGAAATAAAAAAAAAATACTATAATTTGTCTTTGGTAGAAATGGCATACTAAAAAAAAAAATTTTGTTTCAAAAGAAACAATAGTATACCTAAAAAAAGATTCTAGCCTTGTCTATTATTTTTGGGTTTTTAAAAAAAACTACAATTTGAACTAAACCTGAATTCTTTCCTGGAAAAAAATCTTCAAACTAACATTTTCAAAATTTTCTTCCATAAAAAAAACTTGAACTCTGTTCCAGACAGAAATATAGTTATAACTAAGCATTAATTAGGCTACACTTTGGCTCATTATCTTGAAAAAAAAGTTACATAGCACTACATACTGACCATTTACATCAAAAAAATTCTTACAGACAGGAATCTCTGACGTTAAGAATCAAAAAAATTTTGCTTAAGGATCATTTAAAATGTTTTTCAGAAAAAAAATTGCAGTGAAACAGCTGACACCTCGGAAGACCCTCATAGAGGAAAGAAATCAGCATGAGAATACAGCTTCTTCATAAAAAAATCCCATTACTTCACCTTACACTCTTTGACCAATCAAAAAAATCCACACTTCAGCCCAATCCAAAATCCTTAAAAAAAAAAAACCCAAACTTCTCAGGGAGATGGATTTGAGGTTTTAAAAAAACTCCTAGTTTGGTGACCCCCAAATTAAACTTTTTAAAAAAAGCTGCTGCCAAAAAAAAAGGAAACAAAGAAAAATAAAAAAAGAAAGTTATATCCGTTGGATAGTCTAAGGCATATAAAAAAAATTTTAACACTTACATAATCCGTCCAAATGACAAACAAATATAAAAAAGAAGCTTATAAAGTATCAGTCTAGTTGAAAAAAAGAAAATAGGTTTTCTGGCCCAAATTCTTTCCTTTAAAAAAACTAGAATCAATATGACAGACATTTCCTTTTTTATAAAAAAATCAGTATATGTGTACATACACAAAACATGAAAAAAGAATTAGACCATTTTATGTGGAAGCATCTAATATAAAGCCAAAAAAAAAAGCAATTAATGTTTATTCTTTGTTGTTTACTCAAAAAAAGCACTGGTGAAAAAAACCTACCCAAAATCAAGTAAAAAAAATTTGATAAACTTTTGTTTATAGTTGTTTGACAAAAAAAAAACAACTTTGGATCTGCATTAGGAAGCCAGGAATTCAAAAAAATACCTTTTCCTGACAATGAATCACGGCGGTTCTGAAAAAAATACAACAGCTGTTCTACCTCATTTAGTTTTGAAGAAAAAAAGAGTTTACATTCTTCAACCACCTTCCTTGCCAGGGAAGTTATATCTGTGTTGGCATTGAGACTCTTAAGTCGAATAAAAAAAGTATGACAGAATTTTTCAACTCACGTATTATAAAAAAAAAAACTGCAATACTACTACTTTAAAATAATTTATAGGAAAAAAATTATTATAGAGAATCTGGCCATAGACTCTTAGTAAAAAAAAGTATTAGATATAATTAGACTTAGAAAAATACAAGAAAAAAATTTTCTGTGAGCTAGACAAACAAAATAACAAAAGAAAAAAAAAATCTTCTTCCAACTCTCTAGGCAAGACAGCATAAAAAAAGATTCTGTTTTAAAATGGTATTTCTGATATAAAAAAAAAAAAGTCTTTAGCATTATCAAATGTAAGAATTCATACCATCATAAATAAATCATTTTCTTGACCATACCCACAAATGCAAAAAAATTTCAGCTAGGGACAAGACACAATATTGATACGTAAAAAAACAGTTGCTCTGGTGGTAATTATATAGAAAGTAAAAGCAAAAGAAAGTGAAATCCAGCTGGGCACAGTGGTTCACATCTGTAATTCCAGCACTTTGGGAGGCTGAGGCGGGGGGCTCACAAGGTCAGGAGTTCGAGACCAGCCTGGCCAATATGGTGAAAACCCGTCTCTACTAAAGATACAAAAAATTTGCCGGGTGTAAAAAAATGCGCCTGTAATCCCAGCTACTTGGGAGGTTGAGAAAAAAAAATTGTTTGAACTTGGGAGGCAGAGGTTGCAGTGAAAAAAAATCGCACCATTATACTCCAGCTTGGGCGACAGGGAAAAAAACTGTCTCAAAAAAAAAAAAAAAAAAAGTGAGATCAAAAAAAAGATCTGTATGAGGAATTTTGAGGAACAAATGAAAAAAAAATATACTTAGGTTAGTGCATTAACAATAATAAGCCAAAAAAACCCTCTTTTTAAAGTTAGCCCAGGAGATTCACTGGGAACCCATTAAGAAACCATTATTAAGAGTCTGGAAACAATAAAAAAATTAGGGGATTCAGGGTACCAGGAAGAGGTATAAAAAAAAAAAATTAGATTCAAAGTGAAGAGTCAACCTGGTGGCAAAAAAATGTCAAGCAGATGCTCCCATGCAAGCTTCTTTTCAAAAAAAGAAAAATAAGCAAGCAGCCACTGTGTAGAATTATTTTGTGTTAAAGATGGCTAATTTTTTGTTAGAAGACATCAAAAAAAAAGAAGGAGCAGGAGTGGAGATCTCAGAGCAATGTCAAAAAAACTTATTATTCATATACAGATGATTTCTCCTGAAAAAAAAAAAGCAGAATGACTTAGATATTATTCCTAGCTATATATTCAACCCCAAATCTGGTTATCCTGGGGTTCTACAAGCTAAAAAAAAGCTTTTAATAAATTCCTTTTCTGTTTAAATTTGTAAAAAAAGTTTCTAATGTTTACAAGAAGAACTCTAGCAATAAAAAAAACCTTTATTTCTTCTTTAACTTATTTGTTTTTTTTAAAAAAATTTCTACCTTGAAAGTCCTTTAATTTTATTATATTTTTATATAGTCTTAGCTGCATATCAGAAGGCATAGAGAGAAAAAAAAGTCAATACAGAGAAAAACTCTAAAAAGACCTCTAAAAAAAATCCAATTGCTTGCAATTATGAGTAAAACTGCTATAAACATTCAAGTGCAGCTTTTTGTGTGAACATGTTTTCAACAAAAAAAGGTAGATATCTAGGGGCATGAGGAGGGTCCAAGATGGCTGAATAGAAACAGCCCCAGTGTGCAGTTCCAAGTGAGAAAAAAACAAAAGGTGGGTGATTTCTACATTTCCAACTGAGAAAAAAAGTTCAACACATTGGGACTGGTTAGGCAGTGGGTAAAAAAAATGGAGAGTGAGCAGAAGCGGGGTGGGAGGACATCAAAAAAACCAGGAAGTGCAAAGAGCTGGGGGACATCCCTCCAAAAAAAAAGGGAAGGTGTGAGGGACTGTGCTACCCGGCCCGGGTGCTATGCTTTTCCCACAGTTTTTGCAGTCCACAGATCAGGAGATCCTTTGTGAGCCAATACCACTGGGCCCTGGATTTAAAAAAAAAAACCAGGTGGCTGTTTGGGTAGGCACTGAGCTAAAAAAAGGAGTTTTTTCATACCCCAGTGGTGCCCGGAACCAAAAAAAGACAGAACTGTTCACTCCCCTGGAAACGGGGCTGAAAAAAAGGAGTCAAGTGGTCTCACTCAAGGAGTCCTACTCAAAAAAAGCCCAGCAAGCTATGAATCACTGGCTTGAAATTCAAAAAAACAGCACAGCAGTCTGGAGTTGACCTGGGATGATCAAAAAAAGTGAGGGGAGGGGGGCCTGCCATCAGTGAGGCTGTAGTAGGCAGTTTTCCCTGGACAGTGCTAAGGAGACTGGGAAAAAAAAACTGGGTAGAATTCACCAGAGTGTGGCAAAGTGCAAAAAAAGATGCCTCCTCACTGGACAGGGCACCTATAAAGGAAATGCGACAGCCTTAGGGGCTTACAGATAAAACTCATCTCAAAAAAACAGAGAACCTGGCAGGAGGGGTGGCTGTGGGCACAAAAAAAGCGGACTTAATCTTTCCTGCCTGTTGGCTCTGATAAAAAAAGCTGATCCTGACAGGGGGAATTCTCCCAGCACAGAAAAAAAGCTCTGCTAAGGGACAGACTACCTCCTCAGGTGGAAAAAAAACCCCTGTGCTTCCTGACTGGGAGAGACCTCCCAAAAAAAATTGACAGACATCTCATATAGGAGGTCTCTGGCTGGCATCAGACAAAGCTTCCAGGGGAAGGAGCAGGCAGTAATAAAAAAAATTCTGCAGCCTCCAGGCGAATGGGGTCTAGAGTGAAAAAAAAGCAAACTTCAGCAGACCTGCAGAAGACGGACCTAAAAAAAGGAAGATTAACAAACAGAGAGCAACAACAACAACAAAAAAAAAAAATACCCCCCAACAAAAACCCCATCCAAGGGAAAAAAACCTCAAAGATCAAAAAGGATAAATCCACGAAGATAAAAAAAAACCAGCACAAAAACGCTGAAAATTCCAAAAACCAAAAAAACTCTTCTCCAAATGATCGCAAGTCCTCTCCAGCAAAAAAAAAAAACTGGATGGAGAATGAGATTGATGAAATGACAAAAAAAGGCATCAGAAGGTGGGTAATAACAAACTCCTCTTAAAAAAAGTAGCATGTTCTAACCTAATGCAAGGAAGCTAAGAACCTTGATAAAAGGTTACAGGAAATGCTAACTAGCATAAAAAAAAAAGACGAAACATAAATTACTTGATGGAGCTGAAAAAAAAAAAATGAAAACTTCGTGAAGCATACACAAGTATCAATAAAAAAAACAATCAAGCAGAAGAAAGAGTATCAGAGACTGAAAAAAAAATTGCTGAAACAAGGCACAAAGACAAGATTAGAGAAAAAAAAATGAAAAGGAACAAACAAAGCCTCCAAGAAATATAAAAAAATGTGAAAAGGCCAAACCTACGATTGATTGGTGTAAAAAAAAGTTACAGGGAGAATGGAACCAAGTTGGAAAACACAAAAAAAGGTATTATCCAGGAGAGCCTCCCCAGCCTAGCAAAAAAAAACAACATTCAAATTCAGGAAATACAGAGAACACCAAAAAAAAATTCCTCGAGAAGATCAGTCCCAAGACACATAATAAAAAAATTCTCCAAGGTTGAAACAAAGGAAAAAAATGTTAAAAAAAACCAGAGAGAAAGGTCAGGTCACCTACAAAGGGAAAAAAAAAAGACTAACAGCAGATCTCTCTGCAGAAACTCTACAAAAAAAAAGAGAGTAGGGGTCAATATTCAACAATCTTAGGAAAAAAAATTTTCAACACAGAATTTCATATCCAGCCAAACTAAAAAAAATAAGCAAAGGAGAAATAAAAATCTTTCCAGACAAAAAAAAGCTGAGGGATTCTGTCACCACCAGGCCTGCTTTAAAAAAAATCCTGAAGGAAGCACTAAAATATAGAAAGGAAAAAAAAAAACCAGCCAAATGCAAAAACACACCAAAATATAAAGACCAATGACACTGTGAAGAAACTACATCAACTAATGTGCAAAAAAAAAAGCTACCAGTATGATGACAGGATCAAATTCACACAAAAAAATGTTAACCTTAAATGTGAAAGGGCTAAATGCCTCAAAAAAAAGACACAGACTGGCAAATTGGATAGAGTCAAGACAAAAAAATGTGCTGTATTGAGGAGACCCATTTCACATGCAAAAAAAAACTTAGGCTCAAAATAAAGGAATGGAGGACTATTTAAAAAAAAAATGGGGGGGTAAAAAAAGCAGGAATTGCAATTAAAAAAACTGATAAAACAGACTTTAAACCAACAAAGATCAAAAAAAAAAAAGAAGGGCATTACATATGGTAAAGGGTTCAATAAAAAAAAAAGACCTAACTCTCCTAAATATATATGCACCCAAAAAAAAACCACCCAGATTCACAAAACAAATTCTTAGAGACAAAAAAAGAGACTTAGACTCCCACACGATAATAGTGGGAGAAAAAAAAACCCCACTGTCAATAACAGACAGATCAACAAGACAAAAAAATAACAAGGATATTTAGGACTTGAACTCAGCTCTGAAAAAAATGGACCTAATTGACATCTACAGAACTCTCCACCCAAAAAAAACAAAATATACATTTTTCTAAGTGCCCCATGGCAAAAAAAATAAAATTGACCACATAATTGGAAGTAAAATAATCAAAAAAAAATGCAAAAGAACGGAAATCATAAGAAAGAGTCTAAAAAAACACAGTGCAATCAAATTAGAACTAAGGATTAAGAAAAAAAATCAAAACCGCATAACTACATGGAAACTGAACAACAAAAAAATGAGTGACTCCTGGGTAAATAACGAAATTAAGGCAAAAAAAAAGAAGTTCTTTGAAACCAATGAGAACAAAGAGAAAAAAAACCAGAATCTCTGGGACACAGCTTAAGGAGCGTGTAAAAAAAAATTTATAGCACTAAATGCCCACATCAGAAAGGTGGAAAGATCTGAAATTGACACCCTAACATCAAAATTAAAAGAACTAGAGAAGCAAGAGCAAACAAAGTCAAAGCTAGCAGAAGACAAGAAATAACTAAGATCAGAGCAGAAATGAAGGAGATAGAGACAAAAAACTCTTTCAAAAATCAATGAATCCAGGAGCTATTTTTTAAAAAAATTAACAAAATAGACTGCTAGCTAGACTAATAAAGAAGAGAGAAAAATCAAATTGACACAATAAAATACGATAAAGGGGATACCACCACTGATCCCACAGAAATACAAACTACCATCAGAGAAAACTACAAACACCTGAAGCAAATAAAGCAGAAAATCTATAAGAAACGAATGAATTCCTGGATACATATACCCTCCCAAGACTAAACCAGGAAGAAATCGAATCCCTGAATAGTCCAATAACAACTTCTGAAATTAATAGCCTACCAACCAAAAAATAAAAAAAAGGCCAAGAACAGATGCATTCACAGCAGAATTCTACCAGAGGTACACAGCGGAGTAGGCACCATTCATTCTGAAACTATTCCAAGCAAGAGAAAAAGAGGGACTCCCCCCTAACTCATTTTATGAGGCCAGCATCATCCTGATACCAAAACCTGGCAGAGACACAACAACAAAAAAGAAAATTTCAGGGCAATTTCCCTGATGAACATCAATGTGAAAATCATCAATAAAATACTGGCAAGCTGAATACAGCAGCATATCAAAAAGCTTAACCACCATGACCAAGTCAGCTTCATCCCTGGGATGCAAGGCTGGTTCAACATATGCAAATCAATAAAAGTAATCCATCACATAAACAGAACCAAGGACAAAAACTGCATGATTTTCTCAATAGATGCAGAAAAGGCCTTCGAAAAAATTCAACATCTTTTTATGTTAAACACTCTCAATAAACTAGGTATTGATGGAACATATCTCAAAATAATAAGAGCTATTTATGACAAACACATAGCCAATACCATATTGAATGGGCAAAAGCTGGAAGGATTCCCTTTGCAAACCATCACAAGACAAGGATGCCACTCCTATTCAACACAGTATTGGAAGTTCTGGCCACGGCAATCAGGCAAGAGAAAGAAGTAAAGGGTATTCAAATAGAAAGTGAGGAAGTCAAATTGTATCTGTTTACAGATGATATGATTGTATATTTAGAAAACCCCATCGTGTCAGCCTATAAACTCCTTAAGCTGATAAGCAACTTCAGCAAATTCTTAGTGTACAAAATCCAAGTGCAAAAATCACAAGCAATCCTATACACCAACAATAGACAAGCAGAGAGCCAAATCATGAGTGAACTCCCATTCACAACTGCTACAGAGAAAATAAAACATCTAGGAATACAACTTACAAGGGAGGTGAAGGACCTCTTCAAGGAGAACTACAAACCGCTGCTCAAGGAAATAAGAGATAACACAGACAAATGTAAAAACATCCTATGCTCATGGATAGGAAGAATCAATATCATAATAATGGCCATACTGTTCAAGGTTTACAGATTCAATGCTATTCCCATCAAGCTAACATTGATTTTTTTCACAGAATTACGAAAAGTACTTTAAATTTCACACAGAACCAAAAATGAGCCTGTATAGCCAAGACAATTCTAAGCAAAAAATGGAGGCATCATGCTACCTGACTTCAAACTATACTACAAGGCTACAGTAACCAAAACAGCATGGTACTGGTATCATAACAGGGATATAGACCAATAGAACAGAACAGAGACTCAGATATAACACCACACATCTACAACCATCTAACCTTCAACAAACCTGACAAAAACAAGCAATGGGGAAAGGATTTCCTATTTAATAAATGCTGCTGGGAAAACTGGCTAGCCATTTGTAGAAAACAGAAACTGGACCCCTTCCTTACACCTTATACAAATGTTAACTCAAGATGGATGAAAGACTTAAATGTAAAACCCAAAGCCATAAAAACCCTAGAAGAAAACCTAGACAATACCATTCAGGACATAGGCAAGGACAAGGACTTCATGACTAAAACACCAAAAGCAATTGCAACAAAAGCCGAAATTGACAAATGGGATCTATTTGAACTAAAGAGCCTCTGCACAGCAAAAGAAACTATCATCAGAGTGAACAGGAAACCTACAGAATGGGAGAAAATTTTTCTATCTACCCATCTGACAAAGGACTAATATCCAGAATCTACAAGGAACTTAAACAAATGTACAAGAGAAAAAACAAACAACCCTATCAAATAGTGGGTAAAGGATATGAACAGACACTTCTCAAAAGAAGACACTTATGCGGTCAAGAAACACATGAAAAAAAGCTCATCATTATTGGTCACTAGAGAAATGCAAATCAAAACCACAATGAGATACCATCTCATGCCAGTTAGAATGGTGATTATTAAAAAGTCAGGAAACAACAGATGCTGCTCAGGCTGTGGCGAAATTGGAATTGGTTTAACCATTGTGGAAGACAGTGTGGTGATTCCTCAAGGATCTAGAACTAGAAATACCATTTGACCCAGCAATCCCATTACTGGGCATATACCCAAAGGATTACAAATCATTCTACTACAAAGACACATTCACACATAGGTTTATTACAGCACTATTTACAATAGCAAAGACTTGGAACCAACCCAAATGTCCATCAATGAGAGACTGGATAAAGAGAATGTGGCATATATACATCACGGAATAATATATAGCCATAAGAAGAATGAGTTCATGTCCTTTGCACGGAGATAGATGAAGCTAGAAGCCATCATTCTCAGCAAACTAACACAGGAACAGAAAACCAAACACCACATGTTCTCACTCATAAATGGGGATCGAACAATGAGAACACATGGACACAGGGAAGGTAACATCACCCATCAGGGCCTATCAGGAGGTAGGGGGGTAAGGGGAGGGAGAGCATTAGGACAAATATCTAATGCATGTAGGGCTTAAAATGTAAATAATGGGTTAATAGGTGCAGCAAACCACCATGGCACATGTATACCTATGTAACAAACCTCCACATTCTGCACATGAATCCCAGAACTTTAGAGTAAAATTAAAAACAAAAAAAAGAAACATGAAACACATCTTTTATGGTTGATTTCACAAGTTAGTAGTTCATAATCTATTATATTCATTTTCTAAATGGGATAAATTAGAATATATATGTTACAACAGGTTCCTATTAAGCTTATAAAAATCTTACTTTTTCTAGGATTAATACACTCCATATTTATAGTTTAATATAATCTCTCCTTCACTAAGATGAAGTATGCCTGGAAGAATGCCATAATTAATCACCTATGCAGATCAAAATAATATCAGATTTGTATAAAGTTTATATAATGTTCACTAATTTCAAAATGTACACAAATAAAGAACTTACATTTTTTGACATTCTTTTCGTTCTCCCAACATAGGGTCCCCCATTTCTCCAAGAATGGTGGCTTCCACTTCATATTGAACAATGAGTGCTTTTTCTGATGGATGTACATCAATATTCCCTCCTTTAACTTTCCTGTAATACAAAATTGAAATGACATACCAGATTAAAACTCTCAAAGTGGCCATGGTTTTTGTCTATGTTTAGGTCTATAACATATGGGTTGGATTAACATGTGAATTTGAATCAGATTACTCTTGACTTGGGATTAGAGATAACTCTTTTTCTCTAACTGTAATATATATATGTGTGTGTGTGTATATGTATGTGTGTGTGTATGTGTATATATATATATCTTTGTCATGCATAAAGTATCTTTATAAATAGCTCTTCCTAGGAAAAACATACATTTACCAAAGGATCATGCATAAGAGCAAGAGAATGAAACACAAACAATTAAGATGGCTTTGGAGAGAATGACCTCAAAAAAGTCAGTTATTCAAAACCAAAGACAACTGTCTTAAAATTTATGTTAAAAGAAAAAGTCAGGCCAGACATGATGGCTCACACCGGTAATCCCAGTGACTTGGGAGACCAGCATGGGAGAAATCCTTTAGGTCAGAAGTTTGAGACCAGCCCAGGTAATATAGTGAGAGACTGTTTCTACAAAAAATTTAAAAACTAGCGGGGCATGGTGGCAGGTGTCTGTAGTCCTAGATAATCACAGGCTGAGGCAGGAGGATCACTTGAGCCCTCTGATGGTGCCATTGCACTCCAGCCTAGCCAATAGAACAAAACTCTGTCTCTATCAAAAAAAAAAAAAAAAAAAAAAAGTCAACCTGCCCATTAATTACCCCATAAACTGGACCAAAAGACAGGAAGAAATTATATATTACAATATATGTCATGTATCATTGTACAAGTTGTAGCATTAGTACCTAAATAAAATCACTGAATCACACCCAAATTACGTAACAAAAAAGCATTTACAGGTTAGGTAGGTTGTATAGTCACATATCTCAAATTATAGTGTCAATAGTAGGTTCTACGGAAAGGTTGTATATACTCTTTCTTCAAGCCCATGAAGTTGCAAAATGAATTCTTAATTGCAGTAAACCAGTGATGAATTAATCACTGTTTGCCACTTGGCCATTTTAGAAGGCAATAAAGTTGGTTGTGCTGGAAGAGATTAAGCAACAGAAACAAGTAAAATCTCTCATTCTTAGTACTAGCTAGCAGCTAGCTGACTAGTGGGGTCTTTTAGCCTGATAAGAAAAAACAAAAATATGACAACACCTTAAATTTAATTCCAGTAATTAGAAACTCAAAGCTTTTCTTTCAGTTGGAAATAATACTCTGATAAATTATGCATATTTTCAAAGTAATTTTTAACTGATCTGTTCACCAGAATTCCTCATGAAAAGGAGATGCATCTGCAGTGAGTATTAGGGTAATGATTAACAGTCAAGTATAGTGATAGAGTAGGAAATTAAGTACACTAAAGCATAGAGTCTAGGTAGGTCAGCAACTAAAGTGATAGTAAGACATATAGGACAAGTAAAGAATGAAAACAGAAGCCAGGCAGGCCAGCAAAAATCGAGGAATTAGGAAATGAGATATAAACATACATTTAAAAGAATGGTACAGATTCCAAAAGGTAAGATAAATGGATAAACGTACAAAAGCTATGTAAATCACAGGAATCAAAAGATCTAAGGAAAGCTGAAAAACAGATATAATGTAGCATCACTATCTTAACTACATAAGAAACTATGTTAATTACGTAAGGCAAACTAGTTACTTCCTTCCTGATAACATGAAAAGCAATCCCACTACTGGACTTTTTATAACTGTATCCAGGTTTTAAGGGAAGAAAAGAATAAGGATAAAATATAAATGCAGATCCTTAGACTAGCCTCCTATTACCACTCTAAAATGGGTCTTCCACATATTGGCAGCTGGAGGAATTGCATAATTCTTGTCCTCTGTGGTCTCATATCTTGCCTTTCCTTAAAGAAATCAAATAATTAAAAAGGAAAAAAAATGAAACACCTCACCACTTCTTTTTAGTTTTTGTTTGCCTTTTTTTGCTGTGTATGTGTGTTTTAGAGGAGTAAGTTAATTAAAATTTATCTCAACTTATGTTTATTACAGAAAAACTAAAACAGAAATGAGCAAAGAAAAAATAAATTCAAAAACTTACAAGAAGTAATCACTTGTTATTGGTAAACATATACATTCAGATATTTTTCTATTAGTACTAAATAATATAGAAAGAGAGAATGACAGCTATAGTGGTTTTTTTTTTTTTGTTTTGTTTTTGGTTTTGGTTTTTTAACAGAAGAGGCTTTTTTTTTGTAATCTAGTAGGGGTGAAACTATCATTTTACCTTAAATGCTGAACTTTCAAGTTGAATAGTATTCACAATGATGTCAGACATTTAACTATTGGGAGAATTAATTTCCAAATGTTCTACCTGAATTCCATTAATTAGATGAAAAAAATTTAAGCCATTATTAGAAATTAATGAATTTCTATTTGAAGCATCCTATGACACCGATGCTAAATTGATATCTTTTAGCTGGTTGCAAATTTCTTCTACTAATAGAGCCTTCTCAATAACAGCTCTGTTTCACTTTGTTTTTGTACATGAATAAGAAAACTAGAACCAACAGTGTGCTAAATTTACTTAGAAAAATAATTTTCTTTTAATCTCAATGAGAAGTTATGCTTCACAGAGTAATATAAAATACACCTTCTATAACTGCATGTGATAAACTGTCACCTTTTGGGACAGTGTTCTTAATTATTAACTTCTGAAGTACATCCTTATGTTCCTAGATTTCCTGTGGTTAGAGATATTATTGTAATCCTTAAGAAAGATAATAAATGCTGATGAACTTTGTGTTGCCACCCATTCATTATCAATTTTCTTGAGAAACCAAAAATGCAGTCCTTAACTTTTCATTACATAGGTACTTTAAAAAAATTATTCCTTTCAAAAGGATTTACTGCAAAATAAAATTGTATCAAATAATAAAATTAAAAAACAGTTGTAGATTTATACCATACAGCCAATAACATAGCCATTGTAGGAAGTGTTTGGTCTACTCTCCATATGCTCTCTGGCAGGATTGTTATGCATCTATTTCCTGCATCTACTTGAAAAATACCCAATATATAAGTGTCCACAATTCCAAATGACCCTACCAACTGTCAGAGCATATGTATGCATTTCCACAGTTTACAGCATGGGTATGGCACAATAGGCTGCTTAATGGGGAACTCTATTCAATGCTCGTATGTCTCATATACTACTAGACAAGACACTAACAGAAGCTGGAAGTACAAAGTGGAAATCTACCAAATCCTCCATCCCAGCTTATTTTAATGTAATTACTAATGATACCTCCATAACATTTAAAAAAACTGGGACAAATGCTAAGTCAGATGGGTTGAGGGGGGTGTGGGGGAGGAAAAGCTGAAAACTAGAATTGTCTAGGGCAAAGAGGCAAAAAATAATGACCCTAACCAAATATAATCCTTTCTTGCCTACTCAAAGGCACCCTTCAGTAATTATTTAGTAGTCCATTCCCATCCACAAATAAACATATGAAAATGTCTCAGGTTAAAAGGCAAAAAAAAAGAAACCCAACCCCCCAAACCTTACATTGCTTAATGGACTGTTGCTTAATACCTTGATATTAATCCTATTAACACTGCTTTTCATTGTTACAAAACTCCTTTTGTGTTTCATTTTTTCATTTTTTTTAAAAAAACAGACCCAAGGCTTATAAACTTCTTTTGTTTTGATAGTTATTCTAATTAGTCTACTCACATGTGAACCCACTCCAATTAGACTTTGGCTCTAAACCCTACTCCTACTCTACCAAAAAAGCTCTGGTCAAGGTCATCAATTTCCTCCATGTTCTAAATATTTAAAGTTTTCACATTTTTGTCTTTGATTTATCTGTATATTATTTTTGTATTTTGTGGGGATAAATTTTAACTTCTTTCCATAGAAACAACCAATTGTATCAGCAGGTTTTGCTGTGTCTTTTAAACTTTTTTGTTTTTTGGTTTTTTTTTTGGTACAAGTCATAGTCAAGCACATTTTTCATCTGGAACCAGTATGTACCTACTACACACATAAATCAAACAAAAAATTCAGGAAATCATGCCTATTCTTATCATGTGAAAAGCACTCTATTCTATTCACAACCCACTGATACATTGTGATTTACAGCTTAGAAATAAAAATTTAGTCTTTTTTTTACCATTGGTTGGCAATGTTACCTCTTTGCAAAAATGGCAATGAAACCGCCTTTGCAAACATTATAACAGTGAGAGAAATCTAACCTTACTCCATCTTGCTTCTGACCTCACATGCTACCTGCCTCTGTCGGACTCTAAAACAAAAATAACAACCCCTTCCCAAAACTAGCCCTGAAACCACCTTTGTAAGACCAATGAAAGGCCACACGATTAGAATTACGGGAGGGGCTTAAATTCTGCTAAGCCAGTAGGTGCAGTTAAACGATAACCAGCCATTGTTCCCTAGTCTGCCTTTCTTAACAATCTACTGCTCCAAAGGTCACAAGATTTGTATCTTCCCCAATTGCTTTGATAGATAACAACACTATTGTCAAAACCTAAGATTAGTCTTTGAAGGTATTTTTCAGACTTTTGTATTCTGGCCACTGACGGACTCCACCTGGACTTGTGACTCAGCCCACTGAACTAATTCAGCTGGTTCTGTGATCCCCATCCAGGAACTGACGCAGCACAAGAAGATAGCTTAAACTTGCTGCAATATCATCCCCAAGTAAATCAATCAGTATCTCCCGTTTCCTAGCCCCCTGCCCTCCAAACTGTCCTTGAAAAACCCTAACTTTCAAGTTTTACGGGAGGCTTGTATGAGTAATACTCCCACCCTGCTGATTGGCTACCCACGCAATCATTAAACTCTTACTCTACTGCAATACTGCTGTCACAGTGAGTTGGTTTTTTCCCTGTAGTGGGCAAGAATAACCCAGAGTCGATTACATCACATGTGTGTCTATTTCTAGGCTTTTCATTTTATTCAGTTGGTTTACCGAGCTATTTTTACGTTAATACCTGAGGGAAGTGTTCCC